CACGGCTTTGAATTAGAACACTAATGAATATTGAACACTACTTAATTACGCTTTTAATTAACAACTATTAAGCTTTTAATTAAGCAAATTTTAATTTTTTTACATAGCTTGGAACGATCTGTGTGTGTCCAATTCAAGTTGTGATGGAATTAGTTTCATGTGTCTAAATCCATTTCTCAAATTAATCATCTATTAATTTATTTACCACTTGAAATCAGCGAATACAAGTATACTTAAAGGATTCCTAATATATTCACAGACTTATTCAAAAGTCTCAAACCATAATATTCTTTCTACACAAACAGTTTATCACTATTTAGTAAAGCAAGGTCAACTATCAACTTTCAAACGTGTTTCGATGTTCTCACTAGTTGACTTGGACTTTTGCTCTGGGGATCTTAACATTTTCCCGCTAGACCTAGTGTTTTGTGGAAATCTGGCGCGCAATAGTATGACATTCACTATTTCAACCATCTATGCATGCATGGAACTAAGACCAAGCTTAATATAAAGAAAAAAGTTGAGGGGTGTTGGAATTACCCACAGCGTCGGAATATGGTGCGTTTACCCTATCCCAGATTGTCACAGGCCAAGATTGAAAAATCCAATTTTTTACTCTAATTGTTAAAAAAGTAAATAGCTAATCAAGCCACAATGTTCTCAATCAATTAAGAATATATCACATTAGCAGTGCTAATGTGATATATTCTTAATTGGTGTGATACAGCAGTGCTAATGTAGCACTGCTATATTTAGTAATATGAAGGAATTTCATGCTTGTATACTAGCAATAGCGCAGGGTTTGTACCGGTCATGGAAAACCTGGAAATTCATGGAATTTGATTTTTTCATTTTCCAGGTCTGGAAACTCATTGGATTTCATTTCAAGTTATGGAAAGTTGTGGAATTTGCAAATAAAAGATGAAAAAAAAGGAAGTTTTTTTCTGTGCTGTGTGTGTTTCCTGTTTGTTCATTCTCTTCTTTCCTGCATTCTGATAGGCACGCATGAAACAAGAGACTGTGCTACAGTCTCTTGTTTCATGTGTTCTGATAGGAGAATCAATCATGTGAGTTTGGTCACTGAGCTCAGTTGCATTCGTTAACTTTTTGATATGCAGTGGTAGCCTTCAATCTTCACTCTTCAGTGTGGAATTTCTACATCACCATGCCTGGAAAGTGTTAATTTCATGACTTGTGGTTAAGAATAGAAGCTTATTGTGACTAGACTTGCTTGCCACCCAAAGCATGAAGGAATGGCAGTATGTACATTGTGCTCAAAAGACTTCAATGTGTCAAATATGGGGAAGCAACTTTGAAGAGCCATGCCAAAGGCAGCAAACATACCAAGTTAGCTAACCAACACAGTGAAGGCCCAGAAAACCCAGAGGAGGAAGACTGTTGGATGAGATAGATGAACTGAAGGAGAAGAAAAGGTGTTCGGAGGAGGGCATCAAGGTGCTTGAGCAAGCAGCAGATGAATATGCAGAAGCAATGGGGAGAAAGGGGTATTTGGAAAGTATTGCAAAGTTCAATGCCAAGAGGCAATCTTTAAAAACAAAGCAACAGGAGCTAGACACTCTTGAAGTGAACATTAAAGAAAAAGTAGATGAAATAGCTGCCAGTTGAATGTTAGGGTAGTGGTGTTGAAGAGTGTTCTGAACTGTATTGACCAGACATTATCATGTACAATCTTGTGTGCATTCTCAATATTTGTTGTGATTTGACACTATTGAATTCTTAATAATAAAAGTGTGGGCACGATTTTCAGATTTGTACCATTTCTGTTCCTCTGTGTCTGCCTGCTCTGTGCATTTATACGTTTGCTATTTATCTACTGTAGGAGATGATAGAATATGCACAGACAGCACAGTTAGTCTTTTGGTCATGCTAAACCTGTGATAACCTGTCAAAGTCTTGGAAACTTATATTGATGGTCATGGAGAGTCATGGAAAAGTCTTGGATTTTTTTTCTAAATACTGGTACGAACCCTGAATAGCATTATCAAATCAAGACATAAATATTGAATTAAATTTTTAAACAGATCAGGAATTTAAAATTAAAACTGGAGTTGTTATCCAAATGTCATATTATAAGAAATGGAGTCTTTATCTGTTTGGTTGTTTGCAATTATGAAACTGATATATACCACATTTTATGTGCTACCTGTGACCTGTCAGCTAGAATGCCAGGGTGCAGAGTTTAGTCTCCAATGAATTAGAAATTTTGTGTTTTTTTTGTGTGTGGTTGCTGACAGTAGGTACCCAAGATATGTCACCGCATCACTCGCAGTCTTTACAATCCATTGCTGGCAGTCATCAGGATGCGTTGCAAACCTAATTTTCATTGAACTTTTTACAAATCCAACTGTGATGAGTTGATGAGTGTATCTATAACACCCCCAGGTATTGTAGTAGAATAGTAAGTAGTAAGTAGAATAGTAAGTATCTTGGATACCAGAATTATAATACATAAGAAATTTATTAAAATATTAAGTAGATAAGGAAACTAAAAATAAGCTGATTATAAAATATATCTGGTCTGCCACTATGCATGGAGGTATGTGCTTTACTCTTAATAAAGCTATTGGGGAATGACCAGCACAGACATATGCGCATCACTATCAATATGGCAATGTCAATTGTGCAAAGATCTGCACAAACAAATGCATATTTATATTACAACAATTGACATGACTAATGGGCAATGGTTGTCATTGATGTATGGTCAATACAATCACTGCAGGTGATGGATATAGTAAGCAATCAGAACACACAGGAGATGCAAATGGTGATGGCGGTGTTGATTGATTGTTTGTGATTGGTCATGGATGCTAATTTATACTCATGATGGCTGTTGGAAAGCTTGAAAGTCTTGTATATAATTGTTAACATTACTAAACTGAGTTTTGGAAAAGAACCTGCCACAAAAAAGTTGGTTTATTTAACATTTTGAGGATTGGGAAAAGAACCTGTCATTACAGAAGTTGGCAATTTATTTAATATTTTGAGGAAATTTATAACATAAAGCAAATATTTTGAAATGGTTTGTGGTAATGAAGGTAATATTAATGTACAGCTACATACTCTACACCAGCTTTAATTGAGCTGTATCTCAGCTGGATTGGGCTAGCTTAGTCTATGCCATATATAGTCATAGGACATTGTGATAATGAAAGTAATAAAGAGTTGAAAAACTTGAATATAGGTATTACCAATAATTATAATGTTAGCATCCTGAATAAACCATTATCAACCAGCACACATAAATCAAATCACAAGAACATGTACAAGATTCTACAAAATATTTTGATTGTATAAATTTATAAATGAGAAATATTCTTTAACTCCCCTTGAGCAAATTTGCAAATAAGAAAAACGCCAGTGGGAGCTACAAGATGATGTAGAAATGCATTTACAATCATGATGGAGATTCATTTCTATAACTAATAGTTCTTACCCATAATTTTGTACTTTTTGCATCAAAATGTTGTACAAAACTTGAACTTCAATGATTAGGTAGTTCAAATGTTCTTATTCGTGTTACCACATGTTGCATATTTTACTTTCAAATGAATCTAGACTCTTATTTTTGGGGAAACAATAAATTTTTTTGATAACAAATGCAATGATTTCTCCATTATTATTATAAAAGAAGAATCATTCTTTCTTCTTTTCCCTTATTCTTCTTTTTTTGGGAAGGGGAGGGGGGTGTTTCTTTGTCTTGAATGATCTGAACTGACTATGGTCTTTGAATTTACTTAGTGCATTTTTTGTAGGTTGAAGAACTTCGCCTTTACTTCAATGAGAAAGGAGCTGAAATTTCAGTGGAACGCTCAAGCAAAGGTCTAGAAGATGATCTGCACAAAATCATTGGAGTTTGTGATGCCACTTTCAATTCTGCTGATGTCCAGGAACATGAAGTTGAATCAAGCCTTAACTCAATTGTTTCTGTTCTCATGGTGGTAAGTTTATATAAGTAGGCTAAGTTTATATAATGAAATATCATGGTGGTAAGTTTATGTAATCTTAATAATTATGTATCTTAATATCAAAGGGAAGCAGTTTGAAAAGTTTGCACCTGATGAAAGGGTTGTGGATACTATCCCAGTTAATAGATGTGTGCTTCTTGGTCGGGAAATTTGTTTGAATGAATTTGTCATTTATCTATCCATTTTTTTATCTGTAAATATGCATGCGGATTTATGCAGCTTAGAAATGATAAATTTTGAAAATGTTAAATTAAAAATGGCACTAATAAATAAAGTTGAGGAAAGTCTAAGGATATTTAAGTATCTAATGCACTGCTTTGCTTGTGTTGATATCTACACTTGTAACATCTGATGACCCTGTAATGTTCCAATGTACTTGTAATGTTCCTTGTACTTGTTAGATTCTGCTTGCATCAAGAAGTGCTGAATAAATTTATTCAATGAGTTTTTAGTGTGTGAAATTCCCTAAGTCCTCATACATCAAGTTGCAAGCTAACATTTTCCACATGTTCCAGATGCCAGTGAGTGAGAAGACAGAGTCACTGATTGTTGCGTTCTGCGAGAAGCTCTCTAAGGCACCGCAGAGCAGGAATCTTGGCACTGTGGCACTTAGAGTGTGAGTTCTTGAATGACTTTCATTAATTTTATTGCCTTTACATTGTACTAACACTTGGTGTTTACAGCAAGTTTTATTTCTCAAAAAGAATAGTGTTTTGGTTTGTTCCAACTTTTGCAAGAAACATTTTAGAAATATGCAATAGGTATTTCTTTAATTTTAATAAAATGTAGAAATGACTATTTTTCACGTTATTGTAATAGAACTATGAAGTTTATTGCTTCGTTTTTTTCAGGTTGAATGTTTTGTTTCATGCATTGCCAGAAAACCTGGGCATGAGGTACCATATATACTACACCATGATCCAGGTGTCCGGACAAATAGGACAGGTGCGTTGACGTTAAAATATGCTCTTTCATTCCTTATTTATGAAGTTCTGCAATTCTAACTGCTATTTATACTCTAGTAGATCACAGATTTATTAAAGAATATAACAATTTTTTCCACATTAATAGGTCATTTGAGGGATAAATTTTTTCTTTTAGGTTTTTTCCTATGGTAAATTAAAATTTGCTATTACATGAGGTTTTTTTGTTGTGTATTGAAATTATTTCTGTGATTGCTCCCTTAAACATTCATGTTTGTTAATTGCTGCCATTATCCTCATTCCAAGGCTTGTTTGATAATTATCATGAGAATATTTTTTACTGCTGTCCAGTTTCCAACACTTGCTAATTTAATATTAGTATTCGCAATTTTATCACATGTGCCAGATACTATATAAAAATTTTAAATTATTTGAGAAATTTGTTGCCTACAATATCATATAGTAGACCAAAATTTAACAAAAACCTGTATCACCAACCTAATTACTATTTGCTTACCAAGTTTCTTAGCTGCTGTAATTTTCTTTGTAACAATTGTGCTCGTTGTTTTTTTTTACTTTTTCCCTAGTAGTGCCATATACAAAGAAATGCATAAAATTTAAAAATTGTGTCACTATTTTTTCCAACCTTTTCCTACTTGCACCATGCACACAAACACATGAAATATCTCACAACTGTTTGTGTTGAAGGTGGCGCTTGTACCATGCACACAAACACATGAAACCTATCACTGTTGTGTTTGTGTTAATGTGCACTGTTTTTTTCAATCTTTTCCTACTTTCACCGTGCACAAACAATAAAGATATGAAATATCTCAAAACTGTTTGTGTTGAAGGTGGCACTGGTATTCCGTGGCGTAGACGACCTCAAGAACACTCTGAGGAGCGCTCACCCTCCTCCCTCCACGGAGCAGATGCAGCAGCTACTGCGCCTTCTGCACCAGACGCTCCTTGCCAACAACATGGGGTAACCTGCCTGACAAAGAGCTCAACCAGCCTGTAGTTTTTAAATGGACAACCTGAAAGTTTTCTGCCAACAACATGGGGTAACCTGCCTGACAAAGAGCTACACTAGCCTGTAGTTTTTAGTGGGACAACCTGAAAGTTTTTGCCAACAACATGGGGTAACCTACCTGACAAAGAGCTCGACCAGCCTGTAGTTTTTAACTTTTTAGACGGACGACCTGAAAATTTTCAACAGAATTGTGACTCCGATTGACGAGCTAGGTGCATTAGTTATCTTGTTTATACTGGCGGAGATCAAGTTACCTTGCTTTTAAATTGTAAATAGCATCAAACGGTATTTCTGGATAACATTAAATGGTATAACTGTCCTACTCCACTGAATAGCATTGAACCACATCACAGAATATCACCTCTGATAGCATCACTGTACTACTCCACTGAATAGCATTGAACCATATCACAGAATATCACCTCTGATAGCATCACTGCACTACTCCACTGAATAGAATTGAACCATATCACAGAATATCACCTCTGATAGCATCACTGCACTACTCCACTGAATAGCATTGAACCATATCACAGAATATCACCTCTGATAGCATCACTGCACTACTCCACTGAATAGCANTCCTCTCATTATCCCACAACTGTTATTAGCTCCTCTCATTATCCCACAACTGTTATTAGCACCTCTCATTATCCCACAACTGTTATTAGCTCCTCTCATTATCCCACAGCTGTTATTAGCTCCTCTCATTATCCCACAACTGTTGTTAGGATTGGTGGGATTATTATACAATAATGAAAAATAATAAGAATATAATAATCCCACAACAGTTGTGGGATTATTATACAATAATTCCACAATTGTTATTAGCTGCTATATGTCATTTGCTCCTATCATAAGGTTGTCTGAGAGTTACGTACATTTGTTTTTGTGCTCCACTCAAAGCAATGACATCCCGTGGTCAAACTCAAACTTACTCCGCATTTGGTAATACTACTCTGAAACATAATACTTATTTATTCTAATTATCATATTTGAATATCATTTGTATTCTATTATTATTAGACATATTTCATAATGTTTTTTTTTTCTTTTTCGAGACAATAATTTGACCATTTTTTGCCTCTAATCACTTGTTGATTGAGATTGATTAATCGTCCCTCAACTCGCGAAATTGATTATGCATTAAATTGTCAAATCCCGCTTCATTATATAATTGGCTTTTAGAACTAATTTTTCATGACATCCACGCTTCGTCATTCACGCTACATTTCAAGATGTAACACATCAATTTGTGTATTATAATTCATATAGGTACACTAATATCTTCTGATTATTTAAATTAATAATTGATACGTTGTTGACAGCCTGTGCGATTCTTGGAGGGGGAAAGAATCCACGACTTGTTGACCATCTTTGTGGGTGAGAAGCTGCCTGGCTACCTCCAGTTCTACAGCAGCTACAAGGAGTACATCTCATCCATTGGTGAGTGAAGCTCAGCCCTAATTCTGTGTGTGCAATAATTGCCGACAACTATATTCGGAACCAGTGAGTTCTGGTCAATCGGCAGGTCCTTATGGGAATAAGTTTTGATTGGTCTCAATTTTAATTAGTAACCTAGTAACATAATATTCTTGCTGGGACCTACAATCATTCGTATCATTACAAAAAATTACGAATCTTGAACATTAAAATCAAAGTCATTTAATAAAGCTACTGCTGCTTAAATCACTCCTTGAGTTAATGGTATTGTGATAATATAGTTGATGCAAGAATGGATCCGCTTCTGTCTGGATCCGCTGGCCTTGTAGATGCAGTGCCACAGGTCTTATAGTCTTATTTTTTTCACTTTTTTTTTCATAATCTATTGATAGTTGCCGATAAAAATGTGAAATATTTTAGCATTTTTTGACAATTTGACTGAATAATTTTGTCCGGTGTTTAGGTCTGGACCACGAAGCCAACATCCGCAAGATGCGCCTGCTGACGTTCCTGCAGCTCGCCGAGGAGACGCCTGAGATGACCTTCGCCTATTTGCAGGCGCAGCTTCAGCTCAAGCCTGAGCAGGTCGAGCCTTTCATCATTGAAGGTGAGACTCTTGTGATAGTGAAGGTGAGACTCTTGTGCTAGTGAAGGTGAGACTCTTGTGATAGTGAAGGTGAGACTCTTGTGATAGTGAAGGTGAGACTCTTGTGATAGTGGAGGTGAGACTCTTGTGCTAGTGAAGGTGAGACTCTTGCGCTAGTGAAGGTGAGACTCTTGTGCTAGTGAAGGTGAGACTCTTGCACTAGTGAAGGTGAGACTCTTGCACTAGTGAAGGTGAGACTCTTGCACTAGTGAAGGTTTGTGTCATAAGTGTTGGTGAAGGCTACTGTCAAGTGTACTAGTCAAGGTTAATGCTCATTAAACGGTTACTTCACTCAGTTGAGGTCAGTTTCTGACTAAAAAAAAAAGAGCAACACACGGGCCCTTTTTTATTTTTTCATCACATTCGTTTCTTGGAAGGAAACATATTCTTCACAGCAAGTTCATGATGGTAAAGCCAGAACACCATCTGCTTTAATTGTGTGATACTTTGAAGTGTCGGCTGAACATCTAACCCCGTCAGAATTTGTTGAGGAAATCAGACACGAGATTTAGGAAATCTTGCTGAAAGGAAAGTCTTGTTCATAGAAATATACAAAATGAAACGAAAATAGCCAGAAGTTAAAGTACGATTTTTTCTCTACCGTGACAAAGATGAAAATTCACCTCTGATAATTAACGGAGAAAGACGTACATTTTAATTTCGATTCATTTAATTAATAATCGTAACAAATTTCAATAGTAAAATACAATCGCTAACAACATCTTATTTTTCGCATGCAGCCTTTGCTAGCAAATATTATAAAATCAACTAATTACATTAGGCCTGACAAAAAACTTTTCATCGGACAGAATTTTCGCGCAACATTACTGATTAGCTATAAAATAGAAAATCTTTGAATATTGGCACGCGCTGGTGTGTTAGATTGCAGCAAACCTTATCGTATATTAGGACTAAAAAATAGATCTCTAGATGAAGAGTTCTACGGTACGTGTTTCCACCATTCAACAACATTTAAATGGTTTCGTTAACATATTTTAAGTTACAAATAAATTAAAGTATATTAAGTAAAGCAACAATACTACATGCCATTCTTTGAAATGAACTCATTTGTGGCACAATTACTTTTAATAAAATTGCAACAAGATTACCATGAGAAAAACATTATTCCTGTGCCCTAAAATACATGGTTTCAATATTATAATAACTGATCACATAATTTTTGCAGCCCTGAAGACGAAACTTGTCGTGGCGCGTATGGACCAAAGCCAGAAGAAGGTGAACGTAACGACGGTCGCGCAACGTACGTTCGGCCGCGCACAGTGGGAGAGTCTCAGGGACACGATATTGACGTGGAAATCCAACTTGGCTGTGGTCAAAGAGAGCATGAGGACCATCATGACCGCACAAATCCCATGAGCGCTGTGGTCTTAGTGATAAATCTATGGTACTGATCTATTTGATTTTTCTACCCTTGTACGTTAAACGAGTATTATTCTAGTATTGAAATCTAGAAGCGTGGGGTGGTCTTAGTGAATCTATGGTACTGATCGATTTGATTTATTCTGTCCTCACATGGTGATATTTATTCTTCTAAGTATTGAAATCTAGCAGCGTGGGGATGATATTAGATACGTATTAAACAGTATTAAAAGTTGAAGATCAGTCGTCAGTTGCGAAAGGGTCAGAAATGAGCTCCATGGCAACGCAGCTCGCTATAGCAGCACGTGCACACTCCTGTGCCTTGGGGTGCGCCAGCTCTGGACCTTCCAGCTTGCAGATTGCAACCAGCGCCTCCTGAAATTTTTTCATGCAGGCATTACTTCAATTGCACAAAGTTCATATCGTCAAAGTTATAAGTTATAACACACTTCCAATTTGATTTCATTCTCGTAACACCGCGGGAAACGTGTTTTTAATTTCCTAAAAAACCGTCTTGTCAAAAGAAGTAGAGGCTAACTTCCGTGTGTGAAAGATAGATACAGAATAATTTAGGAAATTTTAATGCACTTCCACATTTCCGACTCAGCCCACTGACACAATTAGACCTGCGTTGATCTTCGCCCACGATAAATGACTTAAAAAGTGGAATTTACGATCAATTTGACGAAAAGAGTTCAATAGCAGCAATATCGTACATTCAATTCGGCACTTGCATCTAGACAAATGAAGACGACAAATCGCCTCACCTTGCAGTGAGTATTGATAATTTTCCTCGCTATGTCCTTATGCGAGCTGACGAGAAGATTGACGATCACAGCCCCGCGGTACTGCACCTCCTTGTCGCTGTGGGAGAGCATGTACAGTAGCGTCTCTGCCCAGTCTTTTATCTGCACGAGACGTTCGTAGTCGTGAGCACTTACTGGACTGTCATTATTACCATACTAACGGTCATTATTAACGTGAGCACTTACTGGACTGAGCTAGAACAACGGTCATAATTAGAATGGAAACATATTTAATGACTTCAATAGTACATCACTATTTTACCCAGAGAGTTCAATGCTCTCACCGTGCCGTCTTGTAAACACAAGATACATCGAAGATACACACACAAGATACACAAGCTTGAATAATTACATCGAAAACTTTGTGAGAGAGTTTAGTGCTCTCGCCGAGCAGCATGCACAGCGCTCCGGCAGAAGCCTTGACAATTTCCAGATCCTCGTCAGCACAACACAGCTGCAGGTACTTGAACTTGTCGTTGGGGCCCTCGACGAGCTTCACCACGTCAGGCGACATACACATGTTGGTGAAGCACTGCACAATACCAAAGATATTAATGCAAAAGTACTCATCATCACTGCAGGCGACATACACATGTTGGTGAAGCACTGCACAACACCAAAGATGTTAACGCAAAAGTACTCGTCATCGCGGCAGGCGACTTGCACGTGTTAGTGATGCACGTTTGATATGCGGTTCAGTTATTTAAATGGGATAATATGATGCAATTTTGAAACACGTTTCATCACGGCATTTTTCTAGGCATAAATGATCTCTCACTATACTAAATAGCAAAAGTACTCATCACCGCGGCTGGCGACCTGCAAGTGTTATCAATGCACGTTTGATATGCGGTTCAGTCATTTAAATGGGATAATATGATGCAATTTTCAAACGCGTAACATCACGGCATCTTTCTAGGCATGAGTGATCTCTCACTGCGTCTGATTAATATTCCAGTAACAGACAAGGAAATATTCAGACCAGGGCCTATACTTTCAAAAAAAGTTAATAGATCGTAAGTTCATCAGCCAATCATTGACGGCCTTTCAAACAAAATCCACCAATCATAGACAAGAAAATAGAGAGTAAGTACTTACGTTCACTTAGCGAGTTTTGCAAGTATGGCCCCTGCTCACCTGGATAGCAGCTCTTCTGATCATCTCGTGCCCCTCGAACATGTAGTGCTCGATCTTGGGGAGGCCTTTCTCCTTGAGTATTCTCTGTCGTGCAGGTTCAGACATTCCGGCAATGTTACAAAGGCCCATCAGCGATTCAAAATTAGCCAGGGCATTGCATTCTACTGCCAGCAGCGTCAGGAGAGGTCGCACAACCTCGTACATCTGTGAGGGTGGGACTAGAAATTAGGCATCAGTTTTTATTTTCATTCCTGACCCATTCCATCAATTTTTATTTTCATTCCTGACCCATTCCATCAATTTTTATTTTCATTCCTGACCCATTCCATCAATTTTTATTTTCATTCCTGACCCATTCCATCAGTTTTTATTTTCATTCTTCCCGTTTCCTAACACGAAAATCACGAAACGCCACAAGCAAAACCACATCATGGTTCTCTCGTGTGCATGTAGTTTAGTTATCACCGCGTAAATGGCCCCACACAAACCTAACTTTGAAACCAGACCGACACCGAACTAGCCAGATGAACTCTCACTATGAAGCCTCAACTTTCCAGGGAAAACTAGTGGTGCAGTGGGTCTAAACACTCGAAGCTTCTTGGGTCTTTGTCTTGTGTCATATTTAATTAAGAATAAATTGGGAAGTGCTTGGTAGGCCACATAAACCATGAAATATTGACCGCTTGGCTGAAACACGCTGCAAATAATCTTCAAATGCCCGGCGCTCGTTCTAATTTTGAGCATTTTAGCTATCGCGGTTGGAAACTTTTATAGGCTCGTTCGAATTTTTATAGGAGAAATGTAAGCTCTCGAGATTTACGCCCTAATGACGAAATGTGTAGAATTCATCGCAGCCTGAATCTCATCGCTGTTAATTATTTGCTCAATAACAAGGGCTTCATTTAAACAACCACGCGTTCGGAACGAAGCTTCACCGTGCCATGTAATTTGTTATGAGTACGTTATTTTTCCATTGATTGTGCAAGTTATTCTGTGAAATAGGGACACAAATTGAACGGAGACCTTTCTGAAGAAGGTCTCGCTTTCAGCATACCGCCAACCCGATGACATCAACATATTGTCAAGATTTTGTATCATGCTGCGGCAATCGCGTGGTCAATATGACATTGACCACGCGATTGCCGCAGCATGATACAAAATCTTGAAAATTTTCCAATTATTTTGCTCCCTCAGTTCAAAACAATCGTTTCAAAAGCAGCTCAAGAATGTGTTTCGTTTGGGGTTCAAGATGAGTAGTTAATTTCGCGTAAAGGGAACATGAATAGCGCATCAGCGAATTTCATTCCAGCGTTTTTTGAGAATATAAAGGCCAATCGTGATTTATTTCAGTATAAAATGTTACCATTTGAGCAGGTGCTTCATTAATTGATATGATTAATTATGTACCCATCTTTGTTCAGTGAAGGAAATATTTTTTTTTAGGGAAGCTACCTCCGGGTAATGGTGTTGGAATTTTGTGATCATTAATTAAATACACTCCTGTTCGGTTAAGACTCACCCTTTGTCCCGGGAAGGCCACCTCCGGGTTGATGGTGGTAGAGTTTTATGATCATTAATTAAATATATTCCTGTTCAGTAAAGACTCACCCTTTGTCCCGGGAAGGCCACCTCCGGGTTGATGGTTATAGCGATGCGTGCGAGCCCCTGGGCCGCGCACTCCTTGCCCTTCGCGGTGCCGTCGGCCGCGAGGTGAAGCAGCGCCTTGGTCGCGCCCTGCTGCACCATCAGGCCTCGGTTCTTCTGGTGCTCGCATATCGCCATGAACAGCCTGAGCACGACACACAAAATTATCTTACGAAAAGAACTAGTGCTTTAGAAAAAAATATAGGTAACTCAGTACTCACGGCAGTGAGTGACAGAGAGCGCATTTTCTCGTGCATAAATCAGTTTTCATTGCGACTAGTACAGTGCATTAGAGCTAGAGATGTCGTATCTTTGATACAGGCATGCCCGCTTCTTAAAATCGACGATAACGTAAAGTGACGGACGAACAGACAGACAGACAGACGGACATGGCGAGCACAATAGTGCATTTTTAAAGAGAAAATGCGCTAGAAAGGGATGCTTAGACCAAAAAATATAAGTCAAAACGAAAAATCTTAATTGTCTTCAGAAACGGATGAGCATTGCTAAAACAGAGATGACATTAAAACAAAAACCGCTTAAGATTTAGAAGCAACCGAACTAAGGCTAACACTGAAAATCAAAAGAAATAATTAGATAATCTTCAGAGGAGTCCTAGGCGTGCTTAAATAATCAAGTGAAGTCTTATCGTACAAAGAAGGAAAGAGCAAGATTGCCTCGCTCTAGAATTAGTCTCACATCTTTTGATATAACTTTGGAATGGAATATGTAAGTCATATCTTGCTTCCTGGCTCCCGTCTCAAGTCAGGTCTAATTGTTTGCACAAAGATTTTACGATAACTGTTTTAGAGGACGGTCTAAACACAAGCAGGCATAGATAATGGGATGGACAATACCAGGAGGACGGAGGACGACAAAGGTACCGTGGACTACAGAGAGTTGGGGACGACACAGGGACAAGAGACGGCAGAGGAAAAAGAGACGGCAGAGGGAAAAGAGACGGCAGAGGGAAAAGAGACGGCAGAGGGAAAAGAGACGGCAGAGGGAAAAGAGACGAAAGAGACGACAGAGGGACAAGAGACGACAGAGGGAAAAGAGACGGCAGAGGGAAAAGAGACGGCAGAGGAACAAGAGACGACAGAGGAACAAGAGACGACAGAGGGACAAGAGACGACAGAGGGACAAGAGACGACAGAGGGAAAAGAGACGGCAGAGGGAATAGAGACGGCTGAGGGAAAAGATACGACAGAGGTAAAAGATGCGGCAGAGGGACAAGAGATGACAGAGGGACAAGAGACGGCAGAGGTACGGGGCGCGGCAGGACTCGCCTGGCAATGAGTTCTCTGCTGTTGGCGCTCTCGGTCTTGGCAAGGGCGACAAGCGCGGCACCGGCGCCCTCCTTAGCGAGGGCACAAACGCGTTTGTCCACGAAGTCCTTATCGTCGAGCTCGTGCTCCTCAGGGATGTGTTGCTTCGCGAACTTGGCCAGCTCCAGCATCTCAGGGATCACCTCCTGCTTGTCGTACGCATTGCAGAGGTTCACCAGGGTCGTCACGACACCGTACACGCAGTTCAGGTCTCCGCTCTGCAAAGTAATGGATTTTAATTCATTGAAAATCTAATTTTAATTTAATTGAAATGAGAAATTTGTATATTTGCCTCTTTTTCCACGCAACACGATCAGCGTTTCTATATTATTTTATTATTTAGGAACTAAACTTCCATATTTTATTATTCAGGAACTAATCTTCCAGGACCGGTTCATTCACTCACATAGTACGCACAATAGACCCAAGGGGCGCTAGATTTATTATTTTAATGATGGGAAAATATGAACACTATAAGATGACATGCGTTACAACTTTGCTGACACATTACTCATTAGGGAATTAGTGATACTTCACCCATTAAGGAATAATATCTACTCAGGTATTCATAAGATTGACAGTCAAATACTGACACTTTAAGTCAAATACTTTTTTAAATACTTTAATCAAGCACAAGGCACTGTGAGGAACAAGAAGTCTTGTCAAGTGAAGGAACTTGGACTGGCCAATGAAAGCGAAAATGCAAAGAGATAACCAACGAAATAAGTGGTCGAACGAGGCAAACAGGCTACCGAATAATGCAGCAATCTAATGATCCACCAGCATAAACCTAAGTGACAAAGAATGAGGTGCTTAATTAGAAGTAAGATAAGGGTAATAGGACGATGGCGCGGACAATTGAACAGGGCCTATACTTACAAAAAAGTTAAGAGACCGTAAGTTCATCAGCCAATCATTGACGGCCTTTCAAGCAAAATCCACCAATCGTAGACAAGAAAATAGAGCGTAAGTACTTACGTTCACTGAGCGAGTTTTGAAAGTATGGACCCAGCAAGATAACTGAGATAACAGTCTGTAGTAACCATACCTGGGCCAAGTCAAGCATGCTACGTAGAGCTGGGCCGTCCTCAATGAGTTTTTCTTTGATTTCAGCATCCAGAGTGAGGTAGCTTAGGCCTTCGCAAGCCCATCTAATGGGAGGGAGGAGTTAATTGAGCACATTAGTCGATAACTCAAGAACGTTTTAATTAAATAATGAATATAAACATTGAAATTATCAATGACCAAAAGACAGCGCCGAGTAAACTGAAATAAAAGACAGCACACGGATAAAATGATTCATTATTCAATATTTCTTCGTCGTAAGGAGCACCTGGATTGGGACGAAAAAGTAAGAGATATTTTATATAAGAAAAGACAGAACCTTCAAGAAGAAGAATGAATGTAAGATCAAAAATAAATAAAAACGAGGTAGAGGATAATTTAAACAAGGATGTAGAAGTAGACAGAGATAGTAACGTTGTAAGTAGAAGTAAAGTTGAGAAAACAGAGACAGGAACGTTGGAAGAAGAAGTAAAATAGCGAGAACAGAGATAGGGACGTAAAAATAACAAATGAAGTCAAGAGAACAGAGATAAGAACGTTGAAAATAAAAGCTGGAAGCATTCATATCCGAGGCTTAATTTCGCACGAAAATAAAGTAATTGATCGATTGACAAAATCGACTTCCACTTCTAGTAATATTCTGTAGTCAATATTTAGCTTGTACAAATAAATAGCTGTAAAAAAAAAGGCACACCTACTCGTCTTTATGTCAAGACTCATATTCTTACCGTCTCATATCTTTGTCCTTCGACGGATTCACTAAGAACCTGCAGAATAAAAAAAAATTATACATAATAAATAAAAATGCTTGAAACATTTTTGGACGGTTTTTTTACCTAACAGGAAAGTATTTCTAGCACATATCGCCATGTGCAACTTGAAGTTTTCGCATTAGAAATTCATGACTTTTGAGCAAATATTTTCAAAAAAATTTGATGTAGACGTAATTAAGTCAACAATGAATAACAATGTATAAAGTCAACAATTCACGTCAAAAGAGAGAATAGAATAAGTTAAGACAAAAAACAAGGCTGGTAAACAAAAAAAAAATCACCCGGAGATTCGCTCGAGACTGTTACCTGTTGTTCGTGTTGCGAAAGACTACCGTTACCAGGGCACATACTTTCAAAAAAAGTTAAGAGATCGTAAGTTCATCAGCCAATCATTGACGGCTTTTCGAGCAAAATCCACCAATCATAGACAAGAAAATAGAGCGTAAGTACTTACGTTCACTTAGCGAGAATTAAAAGTATGGCCCCAGGCCCTCAGATACGAATAGCGTTAACGACGGTTACCGTATCTCTATTAGAAGGCATGACTGACATTGATTTAACTTTTGTCGGTGTTGAGCATTAATTCTCAACAATAATTATTATAATATATTATTATAAATAATAATATAATATAATAATATATATACAATAATTATAAATAGAACAATAATAATTCTCTCAATTCATAATTCTTGAGCATAATTAATTAATTAATTTCTCACGAGCATTAATTTGTACACTGTTAGAAAAGTTACCGTTAACGGTATTACCGGTGTTTCAGTGGCCGGTCGACACGTGAAAAGAAACACCGTGTCGCCGTTTTTATTCCAATTTGACACTAAAAATCCGTAAAACATCTGATAAAAACGACGAAACAGTTTATTTTCACGGGGCAACCGGCCACTAGAACGCCAGTGAGACCGTTTTTTCACCGTTTTTTCTAACAGTGTAGTTGCATGTACATGCTAACCTCCTGCAGGCTTCCGCAAGCTTGGCCGAGGCGCCATCAGAGAAAGGCTTCATGCTGGCGTCACTGCCGCCCAATGACCCGAGCTTGCAGAGACCGACCAGTGCCCGCACCTGCAAGAGAGAGTGCTTAAAGAATGGTCTCTGGTCTTCAATGAAACCTGCATTAAAGAAAATCTTCTGCCAAACTACACCACTATTTAAAGAAATGTACTTTAAGGTCTTACTCCCGTAACACCTAAAAATCCACCCAGGCAAAAGGTACTTGAGTTTTGTTTTGAGCTCTGTCTATGGCCACTTGCGCTGCTGGCGAAGCAACACTGACAGTAAGACCTTTAAATCCACTCAGGTAACAGGTACTTGAGATTTGTTCTGAGCTCTTTTAAAGAAACGCACTTTAAGGTCTTACTTACATAAGACCTTAAAATCCACTGGCACACGTTTGGGAGAGCCCCGGAGCTCGAGCCTACTGCTAGCTCTTCTCTCCTCTAACCCATATGCAATAAATATATCCCATAATATGTAATTAATATTATGTAATTGCGTGTCTATATATTTACAATATATGAAGCAAATGGCTTACTTTGATGGAAGGATCTTTGCTAGCGTAGAGGCGTTTGAGGATCTCAGTTCCGTCCGTCATGATGGAGCGACATTTGTCCTTCTTGCTCGCCGCTGCGATCAACGCTTCGCACGCAACCTGATGACATCAATAACCTGATAAATTAAACGACATGGGCTATACTATCATAACCTGATGATAATCAATAACTGAACATTCTGCTTCAACGACACGGGCTGTACTATCCAAACTTGTTCAAGTACTCGTACATGCAGCAGCCTATGAGTACAGGTAGTAGTCTAACTACACGTAGCGTCTAAGTATATGTAGCGGTCTAACTACACGTAGCGTCTAAGTATATGTAGCGGTCTAACTACACGTAGCAGTCTAAGTATATGTAGCGGTCTGACTACACGTAGCGGTCTAAGTATACGTAGCGGTCCAACTACACGTAGCAGTCTAAGTATACGTAGCGTCTAAGTATACGTAGCGATCTAAGTATACGTAGCGGTCTAATTATACGTAGCAGTCTAAGTATACGTAGCGGTCTAACTATACGTAGCGGTCTAAGTATACCGTGTATACGTAGCGGTCTAACTATACGTAGCGGTCTAAGCATACGTAGCAGTCTAAGTATACGTAGCAGTCTAACTACACGTAGCGTCTAAGTATACGTAACGGTCTAAGTATAGGTAGCAGTCTAAGTATACGTAGCGGCCTGAGTCACGTTTCGGCTAATTTCTTGTCTGTGATTGGTGAAATTGATTTTAACACCGCCAGTGACTGGCTAAATGAGTTAAGAACTCTCAATTATTTTCGATGGTACGACCCCTGAAGTGTACGAAAATCAATATTTTCAAGTCATTAGGTTATACATTTTTAATTAATTTACATTGTGTCCGAATGCCTCCCCGGTTATCAAGACTCATTGACCTCATTGACGAGTCTCCTTTAGAACCCTGGCTGGAATTTCAGGTCAGTTTAGTGTAAATGAGATATGTGCAGTACACTCATCGAAATGAGATGAGTTTGGGTCATCCTTACTCAGTTTGGCGCTGCTTGATTGCGTAGCAGCGCTACGTCCGCTCTTACTCGTAATATGGGTGAGGAAGTGTGCTACAATTGCTCGTATTATGGGTGCTACTATTCAAACTATACATAACTAGCTACTATTCAACCTATACAACCCATGGCTTTTTTCTGAACGCACTGGCATGTGTCCAGACAATTTTAACCTAAAATGTCACTAAAATCGCAAGCTTTACCTTCTGCTGGAGAATTTCGTCGGAGTTTGTTACTATTGCTCGTAATATGGGTGAGGTATTGTGTTACTATTGCTCGTAATATGGGTGAGGTAGTGTGTTACTATTGCTCGTAATATGGGTGAGGTAGTGTGTTACTATTGCTCGTAATATGGGTGAGGTATTGTGCTACAATTGCTCGTAATATGGGTGAGGTAGTGTTACTATTGCTCGTAATATGGGTGATGTAGTGTGTTACTATTGCTCGTAATATGGGTGATGTAGTGTGTTACTATTGCTCGTAATATGGGTGAGGTAGTGTGCTACTATTGCTCGTAATATGGGTGCTACTATTCAAACTATACATAACTAGCTACTATTCAACCTATACAACCCATTGCTTTTTCTGGGCGCACTGTCATGTGTCCAGACAATTTCAACCTAAAATGTCACTAAAATCGCAAGCTTTACCTTCTGCTGGAGAATTTCGTCGGAGTTTCAACCTAAAATGTCACTAAATAACCTAAAATGTCACTAAAATAACAAGTTTTACCTTCTGCTGGAGAATTTCGTCGGAGTTTTAACCTAAAATGTCACTAAAATCGTAAGCTTTACCTTCTGCTGGAGAATTTCGTCGGAGTTTGCCATGGCGAGCAGCATGCTGAGCTATTCAAACTATACATACCACTAGCTACTTTTCAACCTATACAACCCATGGCTTTTTTCTGAACGCACTGGCATGTGTCCAGACAATTTTAACCTAAAATGTCACTAAAATTGCAAGCTTTACCTTCTGCTGGAGAATTTCGTCGGAGTTTGCCATGGCGAGCCATGGCAAACTACCCATGGTTTTTTTCAGAGCGCACTGTCAAAGATCCAGACAATTTAAACCTAAAATTTCACTAAAATAACAATTTTTACCTTCTGCTGGAGAATTTCGTCGGAGTTTGCCATGGCGAGCAGCATGCTGAGCATGCCTTCCTTGGCCAGGATGATGTTGCCGAGGTCCAGGGGGCCGAGCAGCATCGTGGTGAGCAGCACCGCCACCCGCACTTGGCTCTCAGAGGTGCCTCTCATCAGAGTTTCTCTGAACAAAACACCATATAATTTATATATATTTACACCATATATATTTACATCATATACACATATATATGATCTTTTATGGTACCTAATCNCTATTTTGCTTCAATAAAGAAACCCTATAAAAATTCATAGTATCTTTAAAGAAAACGTTTTCTTTAAAGATACTATGAATTTTTGTGGAGTTTTCTTTGCTTTCAAGTTTTTAAAGAAACCCAGTAGTAAAATCAACAAGTATTGAGTCTCATTAAAGATAGACTAGGTATTGTATCAACAAAATAACATGCATTTTACGTCTTTGCTCCAATAAAGAATTTATGTATTTTATGAATAAAGAATTTTGTAATGACTATTTTGCTCCACGTTTTTGGTACATAATTAAAATTTTGAAATCCAATAAAGAAAACCAGCAGTAAAATCAACAATAAGTATTGAATTCTCATCATAGATAAACCATGATATCAACAAAAGAACATGCATTTTACTTCATATGTGGAAATGTTGAAACGCTCATTACAAATAAATATACATTAATACTGACTAGGAAAGTGAAACGACTTAATCATAAATTCAGTATTAATTTCATTAACTGGCAAGGATAACAAACCATTAGCTCTGATGAAGTTCTTGGTGAAACGACTTAATCATAAATTCAGTATTAATTTAATTAAGGGGGAAGGATAACAAACCATTAGCCCTGATAATTTCATTAACGGCAAGGATAACAAACCATTAGCTCTGATGAAGTTCTTGCTCCAGTCGAGAGCTTCGTAGGGCAGGAATTTGATGAGAATTTTGTGAAGCGATCATCATAAATTACGAAACAATTTCATTAACTGTCATCATAAATTCAGTACCGTATTAACTTCATTAACGGGCATCATAAATTCAGTATTAACTTCAATAAGGATAACAAACCATTAGCCCTTATGAAGTTCTTGCTCCAGTCGAGAGCTTCGTAGGGCAGGAATTTGATGAGGATCTTGAGGAGCGAGTCGCGGCACAAGCCTGACATTGCCCTGTTGGTGAGCGATGCTGTCACCATCAGCAGGATGCTGTTAACCTCCTTCTCGTGCTCTGTTCAACACAAACAATTCTACTTTCATCATCAGTTTCATCAATATCAACATTAACACAATATATCAACATGCAAACCCATATATCAACACCTCACTACACATCACCACGCACCACCAATATCAACACCTCACTATGCACCACCATATCAACACATCACTACACATCACAATGCACCACCAACATTAACACCACATAATGCACCACCAATATCAACATCTCACTACACATCACCATGCACCACCAATTTCAACACCACACTACACCTGTCTCTTATACACATCTAGATGTGTATAAGAGACAGGGATAACAAACCATNTGTCTCTTATACACATCTAGATGTGTATAAGAGACAGATGCACCACCGATATCAACACCCCACTGCACATCAACACCACACAACACCCCCACCAATATCAACACCACACCATGCACCACCAATATCAACACCACACAACAAACTATCCCCCCACATCACGGACCATAAGTCTCGCCGGGCCGCCTCTTGTGCGTGGTCGTCACATCACCATGCACCACCGATATCAACACCCCACTGCACATCAACACCACACAACACCCCACTGCACATCAACACCACACAACACCCCACTGCACATCAACACCACACAACACCAAACTATTCCCCCACATCCCGGACCGTAAGTCTCGCCAGGCCGCCTCTTGTACGCGGGCGCGGTGTCGGGGCGCAGCTTGGCGGGGTCCGGGAGTCCGGTGAGGGTGCGCAGGAGCGTCTGGAGGCAGTACTCCATGGCGGTGACCTCCACGTCCCGGGGGCTGTTCAGCACCGACAGCAGCCACGGCAACCCGCACTCGTGCAGGATCTTCAGCGTCTGCACACAGCGCCATGTTGACTTATTAGTTCAGTGCCATGTTGGTCCATGAGTGCCATGTTGACCCATTAGTTCAGTGCCATGTTGGCCCATTAGGTCAGTGTCATGTTGGCACATGAGAACATGTTTCATATTAATAATTTGAATATGTTGAACATATTTGAGGATGTTGGCCCATTAGTTCAGTGCCATGTTGGGCCATGAGTGTCATGTTGACCTATTAGTTCAGTGCCATGTTGGGCCATGAGTGCCATGTTGGCCTATTAGTTCAGTGCCATGTTGACCTATTAGTTCAGTGCCATGTTGATCTATTAGTTCAGTGCCATGTTGGCACATGAGAACATGTTGCATATTATTAATTTGAAAATGTTGAACATATCTAAGGAACTAGTAGACTGCGAGCTGACCTTGTTGACGTCGACGGCGAGCTGACTGAGCGTTCTGATGCAGGCAACCCGCACCTCAGAATTATTCTCGCTCTTGAGGAGCGTCACCACGCGTTGGAGCAACCCTTGCTCCAGCAGCAACTCCGACCCTGCGACCAAACACTGACGTTATAAGCAACCCTTGCTCCAGCAGCAACTCCGACCCTGCGACCAAACTCTGACGTTATAAGCAACCCTTGCTCCAGCAGCAACTCCGACCCTGCGACCAAACTCTGACGTTATTATCTACCAGGACGAGACCTGGATAACGATCATTTTCTTTGAAGATATGGCGAATTTATTGGAATTGACTTGATTTTTGTGAATTGTGCAAGCAAGGGATTTTATTGTGCATACAAATTGGCATTTGTAAACAAAATAAATAGCGGTTTCAGCGTTTAGTAGGCCGTAGGCCTGTCGCCGATTCTTAACATCGCAGAATATTCACAGCTTGTTGCGGGTCTCGAACGCGCAACTCACGGCTACAATTCTGCTGTGCTTAACCGCCCGGCCTCCTTGCCGATTCTGACCAGAAACTGGCGCACAGAGCTGGGATCGAACCCTCGCCTCTCTGCGTCAATCTTGGTACTCTGCACTTTAACCACTGGGCCTTTCTTTGAAATTTTTAAATCGGCGCGCACTAATGAGTAAAGGAGGCGCACTAATGAGTAAAGGAGGCGCACTAATGAGTGAAGGAGGCGCACTAATGAGTGAAGGAGGCGCGCACTAATGAGTGAAGGAGTTTGGCTTACCAGCTTTTTCCCTGGCTAAGGTGATGAGATTGTTGGCTGCAGTGATCCTCTTCTCGGCTGAGGCACCAGCTGCAGCGTCAAACACTATTTCAAACATCTGCTTCACTTTGCCTCCAAGTTTTGTGTTCTCCTCAATCTGGGAAAATACACTGAGTTAGGGTTAACCTCGTTTGTAGTATAGTTGCCTTACAGGAACTAATACTAGCTTGCGGTTGGTAGCTTCTTTCTTATGGTCCCCAGCCTGTGTTTATCATAGGTTGATACACCAATAATATTTCACAGAACAATGCTACCTAAAACATATTCGAGAACTGAAAAAAGCAAGTCCTAGATTTGAATCTTTACATACAGGAATAAATTCTCATCTTATATCAAATTATGCATCTTCATTTCTATTTTTTTCCCAGTGAGACGAACAATGAAACAAACGTTATTAGAAAATGCTTGCTACATGGCTCTGCCACCATAGAACAAACATTTTCTTCCTCTGTCCAGGATATACTTTACTACTTTACTATTTGGATGTACAAAATTAACGACAGAAGTAAAAAAAATCAGGACATAGATTAATTTGATTCGAGCATCAGGAGACAGTAATGCAACCCATTTATTGCAGCAGGATAGCATGTAATTTATTAAATTCATCAGAGGTTTGAATTATTAAATATTGATTGTATTGTGAAAAAAATGTCAGTGGCCATCTGAAAAATTACCAATATTTTCACATAGACAGAGCTTGGGCTGAAGTTCTTTATCTATGGAAGAAGGGAGAACATAGAAATATGTTACACATGAGCTTGAGTTTTAAAGTGTGCAACCGCTGGTCCTGCTCACGGCTTAGATACATGCAGTACGTACATGACTTTCAAACTTTCATAATTGTAGTAATCTTAGAGCATGCACCTCACCTTATCCTGTACAATTCTGTTAGATACATGCGGTACCTACATGACTTTCAAACTTTCATAATTGTAGTAATCTTAGAGCATGCACCTCACCTTATCCTGTACAATTCTGTTAGATACATGAGGTACCTACATGACTTTCAAACTTTCATAATTGTAGTAATCTTAGAGCATGCACCTCACCTTATCCTGTACAATTCTGTTAGATACATGAGGTACCTACATGGCTTTCAAACTTTCATAATTGTAGTAATCTTGCAGCATGCACCTCACCTTATCCTGTACAATTCTGTTAGATACATGAGGTACCTACATGACTTTCAAACTTTCATAATTGTAGTAATCTTGGAGCATGCACCTCACCTTATCCTGTACAATTCTGTTAGATACATGAGGTACCTAGATGACTTTCAAACTTTCATAATTGTAGTAATCTTGGAGCATGCACCTCACCTTATCCTGTACAATTCTGTGTAGGCGTTCTAGCAAAGTTAAGGCTTCTTTGTTCTTAGGATCCACTTCAATAACAGCACGCATATCTGCATAGGCCTTCTCGTGGTTGCCTAACTTGTCGTGCGCCTGTCCGCGTCTGAACAGAGCTTTTGGGTCCTTAGGAGCCAGCTCCAGGGCTGTCTCAAGCACATGGTAATTTAGAAAATGAACTTTGAATGGCAATATTTTTACTGTACAAAAAGTGAAACCGAGGAACAAGTTCAAGATCAAGACTGTGGTAAAGAATGCATAACAAATTGATTAAAGTTAAATGAGCTTAAAATAAAAAACCTTCTGTTAGCACCTCATTTTTCTGGACTCCATATGAATGTGTATAATTTGAATGGCAATATTTTTACAGTACCAAAAGTGAAACTAAAGAACAAGTTCAAGTTCAAGACTGTGGTAAAAAATGCATAACAAATTTATAAAAGTTAAATGAGCTTAAAATAAAAAATTTCAGTTAGCACCTCATTTTTCTGGACTCCATATGAATGTGTATAAAAATATGTTAGTTTAACATTAATTATTTCTCTGTCTTTTTGGAATCCAAGTTTTTATACTAGAAGACATTTTTGCAATGAGGTTTTGTTGCATTATAAAATTTTACTATTTCAATCAGGAGAATCATCAAGCTTTGACAAATATCTTACAAAGATGCCAGTGCATCCTATAATACTTCTAAAAGATTTTACCTCAACTTTTAACTGTTTTAGTGCTAATAACTTTGGCACCCAGTGTGACATTTTGGATGATGCAGTGAAATTTATTTCCATATTTATTCATAAAGTTATATGGCTGAAGCTTTATTCCACCACAGAAGATAAAATCTCTCTTCATTTGTAATGAAATGTGATGAAGTCATAAAGATCAATAATTGTTTAAAAATTTAAAAATTATAACACGATTGAATCAGCAACCTGACAAAATGAAGCCCAACACTTCAAGTGTGCAACCAGCTTTCATTTTTTTTTAAAGGCCTCCCACACTCACCATTCCAACAAAAAAAAGAATTGATTTTATTAATTAAAAACAGGGAATGGTTTCATGTCATTGATCAGGGCCCCGACCTCAACGCCTCTGATGGTGGCCTACACCGACTCCGAGGGTCACTGAGCTGTGACGCGAGCGAGGAGCGGGCCCACGTCGAACTTGAATCAGCATAATGCCATTGTAGTATATCCCTTTTTTCATTTTGTCCACTCACCTGTATCACAATCTTTGACCACATCCTCAAATTGATCAGTTTTGAGGTGCACTGCAGCTCTGTTCTTTAGTAGAATGGCTTTCTCTTTCTCATCTTTGGAGATGGAAAGCCCCTGAAAGACAGAATGCAATAATAAAATGACAGGTGGAAGAACATCACTTCAGGAGCATTGGTTTACATTAAATACACTAAAAGGTACAACAGACTGTGATGAAAATAAATAAACACTGAAATAGATCTGTAACTAAATTAAATAAAATATCATGTGAAATGAAATGAAGCATTTCACTTGAAATGAGAGCTAATAAAAATATTTTAACAATTTAATCAATAACTCTAGCAAAAACAGTCAATATTTAAAAAGTAAGTTTCAGTAATTAGAAAAATAAGTAGGTACTAGATCTAAAATATATTAAGGTCATTCATGAGTTTTAGGGGAAGAAAGTAGTGTTTTATTTCTGAAAAATGAAGAATATACTTTAAAGTTTCATCATAATTTTTCAGATTTAATGGTAGAATAGTAATAAAATAAAATAAAGTAAATAAAACAGAGCTAGACTAAACTTTTCATAATGTGCATGAGCTGCCTTATGATTTCAATTCTTATAAACCCAATTATCAGTGTTTTTAAAAAAATCAGTGATAAAAAAAAAGTATCAAAAAATTAGATCATTACTCACTGCAGTGAGTGACAGAGAGCACATTTTCTCATCTGTCCGTGATGTGAAGTCACAGACGGACGGACGGACGGACATGACGAGCACAATAGGTCCCTTTTTTCCATAAGTGAGAAAATGTGCTAAAAAGGAACACAAGATTCCTGACTGACCTGTGTATAATGTGCAAGAGCAGCATCATAGTCTCCATTCTTATAAGCCTGATTACCAGCCTCTTTACAGCCAGCACTTGTCAGTGAGTCTTGAGTCATCTGAAACAACAATATGCAGCAACAAACAAAATAACTAAGTTCAGGTTGTGAAAGGATAATTCAAATTCACCTCAAAGTGAATTTATGTAAGGTATTTTATGAATTTTTTGAGAATATATCCCTAAAAGTGGAAAATCATCAATGTATACAGCAGTTGTAATGGTTTGACTTATACTAATCTCAAAATCATGAAACATTTTCCAACTCTTTGTAAGTAGAATTTCTCACTTACTGGAAATTTCCCTCGATTGCATGAACTAATTATCATATAGACTCAATTGAATTGAGCCAACAGGCTTATGTTACACACTCTTTATATATGTAGTATGGTATATCTTTTATGCTCAGGGTGATTTAATGATAATAAATAACTTGTGCAGTCAAATGTAATTTGTTTTTACTAATAAGGCATCAGTCCCTTTAGTCCATTACTGCACATAAAAATATTTTAATTTATCTAATAATTACATATGCTGGGATAAATAGCCATGTAAATAATATAATGGTTGCTTCAGACTTCAGAGTATCAACAATATATAATTGATTTGATATGCTCCTTACTACATGGTTACATAACGAAGAAAGATGATGACTGTTAAGACCTTGAGTCCTTGACTAACCTTTAGGAACTGTGCTCACTGCTCAAGTGTAACCCAAATGCTATTACTAATGCCACACATAGTGGCAAACCACAGATTTTTTAGAATCAGTTCATTTTTAATTTCCTCATTTACCCAAGATTTAAATCAATTTCTTATGTATGATACTGCTGGTATCCAGGATACTTTACTAGTCTACTTATAGGTCAATATAGGACTCACAAATGAACTTGAGGGAGAGTGTAAAAAACTCTCTGCTTTGCCACAATGATGCCACATAAGTTGCCACGCAGCAGAAACTGCACATTCCTTGCTTCTAGTTGCTAAATTTCCTAAAAACATATATCGTAAAACAAGGTGGCTTCCTGACTTGGACCATTGATGGGGTGACTTGGAGTCTTGGACTATTTTAACATTCACAAAAAGAAAACCCTATAGCTATACTCTAAAAGTTCTTGCCTTATAAAAATTGTATTGATGGCTCTTAAACCTAAATTATCAAGATGATGAGAACACCTATAAATGCAAAAAATAAGATGTAATTTATATATTTACTATGCACTTATTTATATCACAAAAAAATAGGTGTTAAAAAACTGTTTCTAGTCCTAGTTAACTCATAAATTCCAAGCCATTCTGTTTTACAGTACTGGTCAGAACTACAATTTTTAGAATTGCCAAATTTGGGGCATGGTAACCCTAAAAAAAAATTCAGTATTTCAGTAGTCTGCATTTTAATTAGGCCTTTATATTTGTATAATTGCTTAACATAATGAGTTAAAGCGATTTTTATTGTAATAGAAAAAGCATACAAAAATAATGAAGGTACTTCAATTTTGTTTAGGGTAAACGCGGTATATTCCGACATCGTAGGTAATTCCATCACTTCTCTAGTTTTTCCTTTATATTAAGCTTTGTTTTAGTTCCATGCGTTCATTGATGGTTGAAATGGTGACGTCATACATTTGCGTGTCGAAATACTTCAAAAACACTAGGTCTTGGCCATCTAGTGGGAAAATATAGAGATCCAAAGAGAGACAATGCATGCCACCTGGTGAGATCATCAAAAAATGTGTCAAATTTGACAGTTGACCTTGCTCTACCAAATAGTGAATAACTGTTTTTATAGGAAGAATATTATGGTTTGAGACTTTTAAATACGTCTGTGAATATATTAGGAATCCTTTAAGTAAACTTGTATTCGCTGATTTCAAGTCGTAAATAAATTAATAGATGATTAAGTTGAGTGATGGATTTAGACCCATCAAAACTAATTCCGACACAACTTGAATTGGACACACACAGATCGTTCCAAGCTTTGTACAAAAATTTAAATTTGCTTAATTAAAAGCCTAATAGCTGTTAATTAAAATGTAATTAAGTAGTGTTCAATATTCGTTAGTGTTCTAATTCAAAGCCGTGTTGTATCCCAATACAGCTCACACAGCAAACGGAATTCAAACACGTGGATATCGGCATTACGTATCAGTTAAATTTTAAGCGCTGACGCAATACGACTCACCACGTGTCGAATATTGCCACACACAGTGACGGAATATACTATATAGGGATTTGGTAGGTTTCCATTCTAAAGGCTTTTTAATAAATACGGTATGGCAACATTTTGTGACGTTTCATTGTTGCTGACGCGTAGTGAAGTGTTTTGAGAGTCACGTGAAGGCAACAGAACTTACGTAACGCATACGTTTTTTTATAGTTTTTCATTTCTCGATGCGTCCTTAATGTGTCGGAATATACCCTATCCCATCCCTAATTTTTTTGGACCCTAAATTCCTATAAATTTTTCTAATTTCTTCAGTGAAAAATTTGAAAAATGCTTATTTTAAACCATGATTTCCAGAAATCACCTAGATTTCCTGAAATAATTTTTACCTTCAATTTTAAGAAACTTTAGCTCAATATTCAATTTTAGTAAAATAGAAAAAAAAGTGACTACAGCAGTATATTACATTATTTACATAGAAATGGGCAAACAATGCTAGAAAATTTACTCTTAATAAAACAAGCTATAAGAAAAAGACAGTGAGGTAAAAATTTTTATAAGAATTGGATGTTAAGTAAAATGATTATTCATTATATTCATAACTTCATAAGTAGTAGATACTGCAGAAACCTTTGGAGTAAATTTATGCAATAATCACAGGCTGCACAGCGGTCAGCGGCCACAGCCAAATAATGATAGATACACAAATGATGCGTATGAATTAATTTTTGATCTTAGAGAATCTTAAACAGCAGAAGCAGGTGAACCTACACAAGCTACACTACACCCTCCCTAGTGAGTGGCCTAGTCTAGTCCCTACAGCAGGCTACAGACAGGGGTGCAGGCCATTATGCCATTTATGCGCTAAAGGTGTTTTTGTTTGACAGCTGATGTGACTCAAATGTTGGTGCCATGCTCCTCTACAACTTGGATTACGGATCGCTTATTCACAAAAGTTTTTCAATTTATGAAATCTTCAGTCTCCTCATGGGTAAACTACCTAGTTAAATCATGAGTCTCCTTTTCAATTTTTTAGCTTATATATGAGTATTGAAACCTTTCCATTATAAACATTAAAGTCTTATTATTTTTTGAGCATAGACTCTTGAAATTTCTGTTTGTTCCCTTCCCTTTTCGCCCTTCGGCAAATATATCTTTATAAGTTTTGAATAGTTCTAACAATTTTCAACGGCAGTTTTAACTCTTAACTTCGATTTGATCAGCAGTTTCAATTGGATTTATACTAAAATTCTAGATGAACTAATCTTTGATTGACCCAATGCGCTTTTTCGACAGTCTCGTTGCACCTATAAACAGACTAATTGTAACAGACTAATCATATTTCTAGACATCGTTTCATATGAGAAAAAATAAGACTTATAATGAGCGAGACATTATATACAATTATTATGTAAGTCAGCCTGAGCACGTGCTCTAATACTTGAGCTTTGTTAGTTAGTACATTGCTGGTGTTAGATGATGGCGTGCTGCATGGACGAAAAAAAAAACACATCAAAAGCTAATCGCTTATTTTCAGTGCACCCTTCTTTAATGTAACTCACTTTGGTCGGTGTCAGAACATTAAACACTGTACTTTCTACTTGATAAATCTTAAAATAAATTTAAAACCCGGTTCCTTATATTTATACTCTGAAATACGCAACAGATTAGGTAGTAAATGTACAACTTGTGTAACCTAAAATGGAAACTGAAGGGAAACTTGGAAAGAAACCTGTTACACTGCGATGAAGGGAAAGAAACCCGCTACACTGCGAATAAGTAGGCACCACAATGTGATATGCCGGTATCCGACGCTATATCCGAGCTCAAGGAGTACGAAGTGAACACTCGCGAACGAACGAGCTTTTCTTGGCACGTGATGGCTTGGCCGCGTGCCAATGCAGCGCGCGCTTGCCACGAGCTGGGGTTCTGGAGAACGTTCTCGATAGATCTTCCGCATGCCAATAGTAGAACTTTAGGTGAACATTCCGCCTCTTGTGGATGATGATTAATTGGAGACATTCTTATTAATTGAGAGCTTCCACTTTGCTGGCGATGTTACTCTACGATCTGCGGTGCGAAACAGCTGATAGCTGAAGCACTAGCAAACAAACCTACTACTACTTACGGGAGTCGTGCAACTGCAACATTTAGGATAATTAGTAGCAAAAGGATTAGAAAAATAAAAAACGGACCAAATCCAAACACGACGAACGCCACGCAAGGTTAATTCAACTTTAACGGACCACCTTGAGTTGGCGATTAATTGTCATTCAGCATCCGACTTCAATCACGACCTTTTGGTTATGAAGGACAATAAAAACACTTAGATCGAAATATTTCAATATTACATCATACCGACATTTGAATATTTATGCAATTTACTCTACAGCAGTCACTTATAATGCAAATAATCTAAGATGAACTAACATATTAATTATTAACGGATGGGAGTAATTACGTACAAAATTAAAGGATTAAATATCGGGATGTTCGGACGCCAGTATCAACAGACGCTTTCGTCAATATTATTCTTTTCCAGATATTTGCCCAAGTTTGATCCATAGATGGACTCGTACACAACATACCGACCGTAGAATATGGTTCAGGGGATTATTATGCACGCTACTTCAACTAAAATCTTTCATAAAAATAGAATATTACAAAGTCACACAGCGACGCAAGAATTCTGGCAGCATAGAGAGCGACGAAAGGACCTGGCAAGGCGTTCATCTCATTGAAGAACAACGGAATCTCGAAAAAATGGCTCATTCTTGCGATCAAAATTTGCTAATTTCCTAACCAACCATAGAAGAAAAGATCAACAATTATACCAACGAAAGTATACCAAATAACATTAATACCACATATGTCATTATAATATGATATTAACCAATGGCTAAATTATTATCGATGTCCTGGCAAGATGAACACAACTCCCTTTCGAACAGCAACCGCAACTCATGGACAATCCTGAGCAATACAGCAATAGTATCTATTTTGTACTTCATGGGAATAGCTTAGAAAGACTCAACCACAAAATCCTCACCGCACCGAGAGTCCGAAAGACTCCAAAAAGAGAACAATATAACTCAGTGCTAACTGCAGTGAGTGAAAAAAGCGCATTTTCTCGTCGACGAAAACATGAAGTCACGGACGGACGGACAAACGGACGGACAGACGGACATGACGAGCACAATAGTGCATTCTTTTCATAAATGAGAAAATGCGCTAACAAGTGACATTGGGCAAACGCCGAACGAGATCTACGCAGACGCAACACTCTCAAGTGAAATTCAAAACAAAAAGCTAACAACGACCTTAAAACAACATCACAGCGCGCATAGAATTAAAATTAACACCCGCGTCGAACATGTGCTAGAGCGTTGCCAGCCCATTGATTTGTTGGAGGAGCATAAGTTCTTCATGCGAATATTTAGTCCAGCCGTTACACGATGTATATGGAAATGACTGCAACCACTCATCATGCAGCAAAACAATACGACCGACCACACAAAAATGTGCTGAACACACAATCGACCTTATACAATACCACATAAAAGTAATCGAACTGCCAGCAGTTCTCCGTGGACTAACTACCACTGCTTGGCAGCGACTCTCAGACCATGTGGAAGACGACGAGATTTAACGACGAAAGTCAAGCTTGTTTGAAGTGAGTTAAATTGCGACAATGACGGTTGAATATATCAGATTAGACTTCATTGAATTACGACGCTAATATATTTAGTATTAGAAAAGAGGCTTAACGAGCTGTAACTTTCATTACAATTATTGAATTGTTATGATTGCTACAAACACATTAGATTTTACTTGTGATAGAGAAAAAACTTCAAAGGTCAAGAAGAAGTTGGGAGTAAAAGGCCACGCCAACAATGTTCGTGAGCCACGCCCATGATGAGTGAGAGGCACTAGTGTAAAATATAAAATGTCATCTCAAGAATCATTGCACATAAACTAATATTGATCATTAACAAAATATGGCATAAATAAAACACGTGACTCGCCTCATTTCAAGCTTCAAAAGCTCTTGAAAGTTGTCCATGGAAACAACACATACTGAAATTATGATAATTCGACATATTGAAATGATTGAAATAGAATTTTGTTCACTAGCTCCACAGGCAAGAAGCCTTGGATCCCAAAAGAGCATCAGAATTATTTAGAACAAATTTAAAACTTCAAATAACAATAGCTTGATCACAATTTGAATCCCTTTAAAAACTCATGCCACTCTCACAAATGACAAATGGCAATCTATCAAATGAGTTTAATTGTAAGCAACTTATTATCCTACAGCTACCCGAGGAAATGCCGACTACACAATTCAGATGGCTTAGAGTTAGCTACGGTACTCTAAGCCATCTTGCCTCCAAAACAACACTATATATGAGCAACGTCCTCTCAGAGGATAAAAAATTGCATCTTAAATACTAACCACGTCCATCATACAGCCCGTCCAAGGCCCATGGCAAGAAGAATTGCAAGGAGACAATAAACACCTTAAACCATAAACACCTTAAACAACAATAGCGAAACCAAGAGTTAAAAAACTCAAATACTCGCACCAAGTAGTTAGCAATACGACACCAACGGTAGTCATGCCAAAATCAATCAATAATCGACTAGAAAACTGAACGCGTATGCATTCCAACACAAATATGAAACTTCAACAATATAAAAAGACAACTATCACGGCCAGTACAGAGAAGAGTTTTGTGTGTGGCATCAGAATACGCGCCTACAGCGTGAGACAACAGAGAATGTGACACGCGCCTGTAGCGTGAGACAACAGAGAATGTGACACGCGCCTGTAGCGTGAGACAACAGAGAATGTGACACGCGCCTGCAGCGTGAGACAACAGAGAATGTGACACGCGCCTACAGCGTGAGACAACAGAGAATGTGACACGCGCCTGCAGCGTTAGACAACAGAGAATGTGACGACACGCGCCTACAGCGTTAGACAACAGAGAATGTGACACGCTCCAGCAACGTTAGACAACAGTTACGACAAAGTCCAGGCGAAACGCGCCCGTAAATGGTACAAGCTCAACAGGATAGAAACTTGGGTGAATTCATCAGGCTTTACAATGAACAATTCCTTCAGAACACAAAAATACGGGAAATTGATCGTTCATTCACAGTGAAGGAGTAAGGGAAAATCAATAAAGAGATAACTGCTCTTATATACAATGGCTCGTAGGCCACGATTGCAGAAATAAACTCTATAGATTATTATCATATGAAATACCTTCCTATCATATGGGTACAATTTAAAATTCCCGAACACAAGATATGTACAATATTTATATCTGCATTATTCACTTCACAAAATATCGGTGAGTAATGAGAACACTTCCTCCAAATGAACATGAATGATGGGATGAACTGATGTGCAATTAATAATAATTAATAAGACAAAATATAGCAAGAAAACAGAAAATAAACGACACACAAATGATTGCATTAAGGGACGTAAAAATACCATTACATGCCATGAACGCAGGTTCATGAATAACGTTGGAAGATTCCACGATGAAAATAAATTTAAGAACGGTTTTATGATTTCTGCCAATGGGTGGATAAACAAGGACCGGATAGAGTTGGGAATACTGAAATAATTTAGTTAGTCAAGTATCGATATGAAGAAATGGTATATACAAATCGGTAAGGCTTTTCCTCCGATACTTACTGAATACCAGCTAACTAGAAAGAGAATGGGAGCATCGAAATAGGAACAAAATATTACTGCACACATTTGATACTAGTAACGATGGCCTGAGCCAAAATGGAACAAAAATAAGGTATTTCCGAAACCACAAAATTCAAGAGGAACTATCCAGACCATACGACTGATTCTGACCGTACCAAATACACCCACATCACTTCATGCTCTCGCCATCTACAGGAGGCCGAGGGTGCGTATCCATTCACCCTCGACTTGATATTGATTACAAGATTTTATCAAATAAGTTTGGCTGGAAACATTGCTAAAGAAAACCAAAAGTGGGGAATGAACATCTGAACGTCAAAGATTCAAGTGTTATCAACCAATTTTAGGTTTAAGTAATGCATGAACGTTCATCAAGACTGCTGGCATGACGTCTTGCGTCGTTAATCATCTTTGACGTTCTTAATGAAAATTTATGGAAATATGGGCAACATTACGTAGTTCTCAACCTCACTGATCTTTCAAAGACAGTTTGTTTTCAAGAAAACTTATTTCTCATAATTATGTATAGCTAATTATCGAATCGGAACAGAAAACCAATCATCAAGGAAATCATATAATTGTCTGTCATGTAGTAAGCATGGCAGAAAATTATTCACACAACGCTCCTTAACAGCGTAAGGTTAATGAGGAAGCGAAGCATGAGAACGAATAAGGATATTGCAATGGTTCTGGCTAGGTGGAAAAGCACATTGCATGACTTTAATAAAATCAAAGAACAGAAGAAAATCGGCCGAATGTAATGCGAGACTAAGATTACATGGTAGAGATGAGAACTTCACAGCACGAGGAGGACATTCCGTAAGACTACCAAGGCGGGATTGAATAATAAACCGTGAATGCAGAAATAGAACTTCATTCTGAAGTTAATAATGCAGGCGAACGATAAGAAAGTCTCCAATATGGCAATGCAGAAGCGTCTATTCGTCAAGAAACCGTTGCATGCAGCCTGGGAGGAAGACGGTCAAGTATAATAGCGCGAAAAATCGATGAGGGCTTTAGCGATCTCCTTGGACCGCGTGGCGCTGGTGATGGTAGTGTGCAGCTCCTGGATCTGCTCAAAGGTCACAACCGCGTGGCCGCTGGAGTTGTTGCGGGGGATGGTGCGTAGCTTGGCTTCCAGCATCGCACAGAAGCGGCCGCGATCGAACTGACAAAGCTGCAAATAAAAGCAAATTGAGGCTACATAATTTACAACCGGGATGCGCAACTACGAATAGAGTATAAGGATTTACTGGGAAAGAAACTTACAGAGACGATGCACATTACAATGAATAAATTAAAGGTCACAAAAACTTTCAAATATCGTTAACCTTAGACCAAAGTTCCTGGCTTGAGGTCTGTTCTAATTGTTCAACAACGTCACCGATAAAACTTCTTTCATAAGAGTAACGGACACAATTTAAATCCAATATTCATAACAACATTTATTGGCAACTGTCTGTAATTAACGCACAAAATCAGCAAAGACGTCGCAGTTGACCCTCTAAAATTCTCTGTGCTCTTATGCACTTCCATAATCTATTTTACGTCTCAAAAGTACACGAACAGGATTAGGTGCAATGTATGCAAGAGTGTCAATTATGAACTTTAATTATCAATTATATGAGTAAGACTAAAAATTTACAAACAGAATTCAAGCGAAATGTATGCAAGACATAAGAGTTATTTGAGTAAGGGTAAATATTTACGAAAAGAAAGAGGTAAAATGTATGCAAGACATAAGAGAGTGCAATACAAACCTGCAATAGAGTCTCAGCGACCTCGTGATGCATGTAGGGAGGCAGGACGAAGATGGCCCCTGATATGAGGTTGTCCACGAGCTTGGACGAGTGTGGGGACAGCACTTTCTCGACCATCTCTCGTCGCGCTGCGTAGCTTGGGGATTCTGTTCCCTTGAGCCCACACAGCAGCAGATCCTGACGCAGAATAATGCAACGGTTTACACCATTATTAAGAAATTGAATAATTTTAAACAGAACATTTTCCGTGCTAGGACGAGGCAGCATTCAATGTAGCATGCCTCGTACTAGAAATAAAGAGGAAAAAATATAACTCAGTACTCACTGCAGTGAGTGACAGAGAGCGCATTTTCTCGTCGACGAAAACGTGGTCACGGGCGGATAGACGGACGGACATGACGAGCACAATAGTGCATTTTTTCCATAAATGAGAAAATGCGCTAAAAACGGAAAATAAGTTACAGATTGTATATCATGCATCCGTAAAAATAGAAGGTATTTTGTAGAAAGCAACAAACCTTACGTTTTCTACAATCAATAACAAAAAATTTGGTGATATTACCTGGAAGAATTTGAGCACAGCAGCGTTGGCATCCTTGTGGTCAAGGAGACAGGCCTGAAGCCCGCACTCGATAATCGTGCTTATTACAGGACATTGCAGGAACGGCAGCGGACAGCGTTGCAGAAATCTGAAAAATATTGCAAAATTGATAATTCAGCTGAAACAAAACAATTGGATTTATTCTATAAGTTGATATAGAATTTTTTTCTACATAGTAACCTCTTTCTTTACATTTTTATAGAAACATGACGTAAGGTGTTTCTGATGCAATGTGTGTTGGTTCGAAAACAATTTCGAAATTGCTACATCAGCTCTACCTTTCATTTGTGCAAGACCTTGATATAGAAAACTTATTAAACAACTTGGGTTTTCTTTGACGCTATATTCGTAGGTTAGTATCTAAGTTCCCATGCTAATACAACAGTAAAAATTTCTAGCAAAAGTAAGTATCTTTTATGACGTTATTACTAAATAAAACGATAAAAGATATCATAACAACAAACTCTACGTAAACGAATAACGTGAATATAATTAGTGACTATAAACTGTGTTTGCTTCAGGATCGAACAAACTACAAAATTGAAGCTATTCTCTAAAATTATTCATATCAAAGAAGAAAACGAAAAAACTTCATTTGCCTGTATTATTCAAATCAAAACGCATGGTTATATTCATCAGAAAATTAATAGTAAACTCATACTTCGTGACTATAATTGAGGCATAGGAACATAGTCTAACCTGGTACAAAGTCGGAACCAGTCGTCAACTGTGTCTGGATGGTTCTTGAATCCTTGAGGCTGGATAAGGAGCTCGAAGGTCTTAGGAGTGAAGGCCTCGAGCATCGAGATGAGCCCCGACACGCAGCCTGCCTCGGTGCCATACTCGTCCACAAGGATGCTGCCCAAATACACGAAGCACGAGTGCCCCGACTCCCCGTACAGCTTCACGATCTGCCACCAAAATAAAGATGGCAGCTTAGATTATGCGACGATCTGCGACCAAAATAAACATGACAGCTTACATTATGTGACGATCTGTCACCAAAATAAACATGGCAGCTTACATTATGTGACAATCTGCGACCAAAGTAAACATGACAGCTTACATTAAGTGACGATCTGCGACCAAAGTAAACATGACAGCTTACATTAAGTGACGATCTGCGACCAAAGTAAACATGACAGGTTACATTAAGTGACGATCTGCGACCAAAGTAAACATGACAGCTTACATTACGTGACGATCTGTCACCAAAATAAACATGACAGGTTACATTACATTGCGATCTGCGACCAATCTTAATATGACAGCTTATATTACATTGCGATCTGTGACCAAAATGAACACGGTAGGTCATATGCAATGACGATCTGCGATCAAAGCAAACATGGTAGGTTATATTCAATGACGATCTGCGATCAAAATGAACATGACAGATTTTATTCTATGACGATCTGCGATCAAAATGAACATGACAGATTTTATTCTATGACGATCTGCGATCAAAATTAACATGCCAGGTTATATTCTAGGACGATCTGCGATCAAAATGAAAACGGCAGGTTATATTATATGACGATCTGCGTTCAAAATGACCATGACAGGTTTTATTCTATGAGGGTCTACGATCAAAATGAATATGATAGGTCAAGTTTTATCACAACCTTCAACCAAATTGAACATGGCAGGTCACATTCTATCACGGTGCGCGGCCAAAATAAACAAGTTCACCGCAGGTTACATTTTGGAACTAGATCACGACAGGTCATATTCTAGTAGTTACAAAATCGGATCATGGCCTAAATGAGAAGTTGAGTTCTCTTTGATGCAAACTGTTTGTGATGAAGAGAAATGAGAATGAGAATAACTATGAGTAACATCTAGTCATTTTATTGGCAAGTGCAAATTATTTAGCCAATTATATATCGCATTAAAATATTCCTCTCAAAATACAGCAGTGATAGCAAGAAGAATATATTACCAAACAAACTATAATAGTAATATATTATTATAATACGCAAATAAGAGGATCACATTTAAATGATTATGATACGTACATATATGGCTAGTACGTATATGACTAAACAATACGTAGATGGGACTACAAAAAGAACATATATAAGATAATATGGCAAGACTTTAGAATCAAGCTATGTATCGATTACGATTATACTATGTATAATCGTAATATATTACTATAATACACAAATATGACAGTATTTATATGATTCTAATAAATATATATAACTTTAGTATGTATATGAGTAAAATACATTCATGGGACTACAAAAAGAACATATATAAGACAATATGGCAAGACTTTAGTACGAAGCAGATTAGGTATAATCGTAATATATTACTATAATACACAAATATGACAGTATTTATATGATTCTAATAAATATATATAACTTTATTATGTATATGAGTAAATACATTTATGGGACTGACAGTATTTATATGATTCTAATAAATATATATAACTTTATTATGTATACGAGTAAATACATTTATGGAACTGGCAGTATTTATATGATTCTAATAAATATATATAACTAGTATGTATATGAGTAAATACATTTATGGGACTGACAGTATTTATATGATTCTAATAAATATATATAACTTTCGTATGTATTTGAGTAAGATACATTTATGGGACTTCAAAAAGAACATATATACGAGTATAATATGTGTATGCACTGACGGTGGTGACGAGAGGAGGCAGCACGGAAAAAGAACATATACACGAGTATAATATGTGTATGCACTGACGGTGGTGACGAGAGGCGGTAGCATGGAAAAAGAACATATACACGAGTAAAATAAGTGTATGCACTGACGGTGGTGACGAGAGGAGGCAGCATGGGAGCGCTGGCTTTATGCACACAACGCACAGCAAATCTGAGACAGCGACAGCAATGCTCCATGACACGTACGTCGTGCCTGTACTTCTCCATGATGCCGGAGATGGCTGGCCAAACCTGCAACCATCACTCTATGTTAAACACACATTTTCTCTTCACAGTGATGAATAATAACAAATATGAGATCATAAAATAATATGCATTTAAAAATTACTTTTCAAAGACAATACTTCTAAAGAATTCAGTGTCTCCAATGTTACATTTGTACAATGAATTTCTAATATTTTCAAATATTAAAACCAATTAATTTTTAAATTTTTTATATACGCGTATAAAAAATATGAATTTTCAAAATATTTTATTCTGACAATTAATTCATGCATTGTCTCTGATTTTACGCAAGTGTGCAAAATTTCAAATCGATTGGACAATTAGAAATGCGTTAAAGTATCGATTATAAGATTTGTAGCAGAAAACAATAAGTGAATTTAAAGAGAAGTGTAATAACTTGAATTTTATTACAATTGGATGTTGATGAAATTTAACTTGTGTTACCCAGAAACGCTAACTGTTTTAGTTCAAGTCTTGTAGCCGGACTAATATATTTGCCATTTAAATAATCTCAAAACAAATTTGACCAATTTTTGAATATTACAAGAACATTAATGAAACGATGATTTTCCTGGTAAATTGGGGCAACTATCCAGGTTCATTGTAAAACTCAACTGTTTGGAAAACGGTTTTTTAACGCTACCAGATATGTACATCTTTAAAAAAAATATAACTCGGTACTCACTGCAGTGAGTGACAGAGAGCGCATTTTCTCGTCGACGAAAACTTGAGGTCACGGACAGACGGACGGACAGACAGACGGACATGGCGAGCACAATAGTTCATTTTTTCCATAAATGAGAAAATACGCTAAAAATAGAATTTTCTTTTAAATTGAGCAACAATCAAGTTTGTCCCTACAGACAAGCACCGCACACCGGAGTCCCTCACTTTCATGACCACATCCCGACAAGGATGTTCCTCCCCAGGAGCGAGGCTGGGGTTGACGTGTCTGAAGACGGCGCTGAGGCGGTCCAGCCAAATGATCGGGTCGTCTGAACTGCCGCGCTCCGCAGACTCAGTGGGGCTCTGCTCAAACAAAGCAACATTAACAAGAAAATAGTAGAAAATCAAGTGTCTATAAATAAATTGATCAATACGAGGTAGAAGTAGCAGTAAACACTGGAACAGTAACTGATGTAATACTGTGCGTTGGCCAGACGGTAATGTAGAACAAAACAAATAACCGCCATCACTATGTCACAGACTAAAAATTGTCCGTGAAATACTGAACATCTGAAGTTTAGAAATCTGAAGTTTAGAAGTTTAAAAATCAAACTGTAATGCGAAAAATAGGACTTGACATATGAAAAAAGACATGTCAAGTCTAACGTTGCTGAATAAAAAAAAAGAATACGAATGCTAGAACTGTCAAAGCTTTAAATAACAGAATTGATAGGCAGAAACACAGTGATATTATAGAAATTATCGGAGTGAAAACAACACAGTACGTTTTTTAAATGAGGAAATTTCCTAAGCTCTGCTGTAAAAATATTACCAAGCAAGCAAAACAGTAACTTGTTTGCAGATATAAGTATATATGCAGAGAAGCAATGTAGACAACACAGATCGGTTGAGCTGTACCAATATTCTTATAGACAAGCAATACTAAATATTGTCAATAGTAGCATTAATAAATAAACAGTAGCAATAAGCAGTACCCAACAATGAAGGTCTTATAGACAAGCAATACTAAATATTGTAAACATTAGCAATATATTAAGCACCGACCTGCAGCAGTCTGGTAAGATGGTCGACTTGCAGCCCACACAGCTTATCCATATGGGTGCGGATGGCTGCGTTAGAGAACTGATTAAGAACGTTAGTTACGCCCTTAAGAAGTCCAATGACCGCGGTGTTGGACACCATCATGGAGTCGAGCGAGCAGACGATCTGCATGAGGCCCACGAAATGAGGCTCCATGTGTGCGTGGCAGCAGCTGCAGATCGCGTCCAGTGCCTGCACGATACCAAGAGGTCTAAAGTAAGTCAATTAATCATGCGCAGCACTATCATTAATACTTGTGACTTAGTAATTACCTCTGACAATCACTGACACATTTTTCAGCTAAACACACAAAGCACCGACAATAACTCGGCCGCTACGTCTACTTTGGCCGCTACATGTACCATGGCCGCTACGTGTACCATGGCTGCTACTTGTACATGAGTCGCTACGTGTACCATGGCCGCTACGTGTCCCATGGCCGCCTTCTAGTTAACTGTTCAACTAGAACTGACAACTTTTTTGTTGTACTTGCCTACAGAAGCTAAATTATGAATAATTATAATAGACTGAAACAGAGGAATAATAGATCTGCTTCTGGCGATGCATAGTCTATGCATGGGCATGATAAATCAAACTAAATATAAAGTGTGAGTACAGAAAAATCCACACAGAGCATAAAGAGTATAATAAGTGACTTCTGTATTAAAGTTTCACACACAGATTGCTAGAACCACGTGAATGTTCAAAATTTCTTGCATTTGAATGGGAGCTCATGATTTGATATTAACTACTATTGATTAAAGCAAATACCAAAGATAAGGCAACATCCCGTGACGTGGAAGGCGTAGCGAGGGCCGTGATACGCAAAGGAAGTGAGGGCGCCGAGGGCGGGACTGAGGGCTGCGGAGAACGCCTATTTCCTAATGTCACGGTACCAATTTTCATTGCAAAGTAATTCCTAATAGTATTCTTTGTATCATCTCCAGATCTCAGTAAGTTGAGTGAGCGACGGTAGACACTTTTTTTTCGAGGATCGATACAATTTTTCGTGCTGTCAACTACACAGACGAGAAGCGAGCAACTTTGCAGCAGTGAAGCTGAGCGATGAAAATCTGCCAACTTGTCAACAAGCTGTCCTCCAGCGGTTATATTGGAGCAGAAGAGTGAATCTTTTGACTAAAAATTATGCTGCGGAGTCAACCCGGATGCCAAGAAGTTCCTAAATTAATGGGGAAAGGGCCCAAATTTCCCAAAGTAATGGAAAATGGACGAGCGTAGCGCAGTGTATCAGAGGAGGCATTGCAGCGGCGGTAGCGCAGGCATGGGTGATGACAGAAGGTACACGAGAGCTCCTCGATAATAAAGGGTGATGTGTAGAGGAGGTGGTGGGAGAGTGGTGGAGGTGGTGAGTGGTGAGGAGTGCAGACACACCATAGTTCTGCCACCTGTTGCCAAAGGCAGCGTTAAAAAAATATAACTCAGTACTCACTGCAGTGAGTGACAGAGAGGGCATTTTCTCGTCGACGAAAACATGAAGTCACGGACGGACAGACAGATGGTCATGGCGAGCACAATAGTGCATTTTTTTCATAAATGAGAAAATGCGCTAAAAACTAAATTTGCCATTTCATTTTCCCTATGTCATCAATAAATAAAACATAGCCCGTGTCCCTCAAGACATATTGTTGAATACGCTTCTCACCAGCCATAACACAACAAAACCGTTCGCACTCATATAGATAACATAATAAAAGAAATTTCAGAAAAATTCACAAGAGATAAATTCTGAAGAAAAAAAATCCTGCAATGAAATCACGACTTCAAAAAAAGAATAAATTATCGTTTTTCATCACAAACAAGGAAACTTGAAACAGAATACGAATATGACAAACTTTTGATGATTAATCAGACGAAACTCAGTTGAGAATCGCTTTGATAGAACAGTGTTTTTTTTCAGTTTGAAGAATAGCATTTACCAAAATTTGCTCGCCGGGCTAATATTAGAGACAGAATTAAACTTACTTGTCCTTATTTGGTACTCTCTGCACAAGCTACAATGAAGTCATTCTAAAATATACAAACCATAATCTTGTTATATAAAAACAAGTTGCGGTACTTATCCGCAGTTCAGGGGCCATACATTCAAAACTCGCTAAGTGAACGTAAGTACTTACGTTCTATTTTCTTGTCTATGATTAGTGGATTTTGCTTGAAAGGCCGTCAATGATTGGCTGATGAACTTACGATCTCTTAACTTATTTTGAAAGTATAGGCCCAGGACACTAGTTTGCAGGCCCGAATGCAAACAACGTCAACTCTTGTACTCTATCTAGTCCAACTTTCTCAAAACTTCTATTCAATAAAGACGATGTACGTCATTTAGCCAACTAACAATTATCATTATATTATAGATAAGTAACTGATCCTCCCGGACCCAAAATATTGAAGAAATTTCTAGGCAAAACTATAGATACCATGCAAGTGCTTTTGCTGCTACATCACTACAGGTATCGAGGTTTTTTGAAGAAAAGCAAATAATATAAGATGATATCAAAAACGGAGCAACGGATAGCTCGGATAAACTAAACTTTACCCAAGAGGACCATAACCTAGAATAATCTTACCTAGATTACCATAATAACCTAGAATAGAGGTACTTACTTAGACTTTGCAATAATAAATATGACGAAATTTTACAACAGCTATAAATTTTACAGGGTTACCAATCTATAAGTATATGATAATGATGCTGGACATCTCTGAGCTCAAAAATTGATGAACAAAAAGTGCTTGCAATGACATCAGAAGCAACGCTGCAATGAAGGGAAGATGTGAGTTCAAAATCCAATCAACTGTTCCAACTCCAGAATAATTAAGGTTTTCAGTTGTGCAAACTAACTTGATCATAGAATAAGAGGAGAACAATTTGAGCGAAGCATAACAAGAATGAGCCAGAACATTGAGAAACATGTTTCAAAGAAAGTGAGTTATCTGAAATAGGAATTGTAATCCTATGAAGAATTTGCTGACCACTTTTCAGATAATGTCAAGGATTGACGGCACGATACGATAGTATAGGAACATTTTTTTTGTATTTGCCGACCCTTTTTCAGCAGTTGTCGGGGCTTGACTGCACAATACGATTAGGCATAGTATATCATGTCAGGAGATGGTTGAAAATGCTTGAATAAAGGTGAGAAATATGAGCAGTTACCTCAAAACTGTTTTGAAAAAGTTATCAGACTCTTTGCTTCGTTTAGCTGCCAAATAGCGAACATAAGGAATAACAATGTTATAGCCAAGAAAAACCAAGGAGCAAACCAAATAAATTGCCAACAAAATATAAATAATTTTTTTTCATGACGAGCGGCACCAAAGGATTCTTCCCCACCAAAAGATAGTAGTGATACATGCTGAAATCTCACGGCAATAATGATAAAGGCTGTAATTTCAAGGCAGTAGTGATACAGAACGGAATAACATTTTTATTATAGTAATTAGAAACCCAGATGTTACCCACCTACTATAAACACCTATTATAATATCACAAAGAATTTATGTGCAAATCACTAGTAATTAGAACCCCAGGTGTTACACAGCTACTATAATCACCTATTATTATCCCACAAAAAATTCAAGTGCAAATCACTTACCTTTGCTGCGAGGGTAGCTAGAGGTGGGCAGTGCAGGCGCTGGGTGCAGAAGGTGAGCACGTTAGGCAGCAGGGCGGGATGGTAAGAGAACCACTCGTTAAGTTCAGCCAGCAGCTGTAGGGACGTGAGGGCGACTTGCACGTGCACCCCCCCACACGTGCCATCCACAGCAGGGGCCGCTTGACTCAGTACGCCCTCCACCACTTCCGTCACTACTGCATTGTCGTCCTCTCTGTCAATGAAGAACATTTCAGTGGGCAGATCAAACATAGTGCAGGGGCCGCTTGACTCAGTACGCCCTCCACCACTTCCGTCACTACTGCATTGTCGTCCTCTCTGTCAACAACAAACATTTCAGTGGGCTGAGCAAACATAGTGCAGGGGCTGATTGACTCAGTACGCCCTCCACCACTTCTGTCACTACTGCATTGTCGTCCTCTCTGTCAACAACAAACATTTCAGTGGGCAGATCAAACATAGTGCAGGAGCCGTTTGACTCAGTACGCCCTCCACCACTTCCATCACTACTGCATTGTCGTCCTCTCTGTCAATGAAGAACATTTCAGTGGGCTGAGCAAACATAGGGCGATGGTCATCTTCAGCGAGCAGATCAGGAGCCGTACTTCCAATACTTGCTCAAAGACATGTTGCGGCGAAAGGACATGTAGCGGCCAAAGGACATGTAGCGGCCTAAGGACATGTAGCAGCCTAAGGACATGTAGCGGCATAAGGACATGTAGCGGCGTAAGGACATGTAGCGGCGTAAGGACATGTAGCGGTGTAAGGACATGTAACGGCGAAAGTCAGGTAGCGGCCTAAGTCAGGTAGCGGCCTAAGTCAGGTAGCGGCGTAAGGACATATAACAGTCTAAGTACATGTAGCGTCCAATTACTCGTGTATGATTGATAGGTTTAGCTAGAAAACCCGTCAGTGATTGGCTGACGGTGTTAATAACTCTTTAACTATTTTTGAGGTTATGGAATCAGGCATAAAATTGGAATTGGCATGACTGCCGACCTCAACAATCAAAAACAACCATTTAATCTAGACTTGTCTAACGGGCTTGAGCAGCCAACCTTATACAGGTATGACAATTTCTGTAAGATGAGAATCTCCTGAAAATTATTTGTGGAATATTTATATTTTCTGTTCCTGATTTTCTATGAAGTGGTCTCACTGGACTGTTGAACTACAACGGCGTCATACATCTCTGCAGTCATGCAGTTAACGCTGCTATCGAGAACATACACTAACAAAAACATATTTTTACATATGGTACTCCAATTTCAAGTTCTAAACAATAATATTCCAAAAAATTTTACTACGGTAGAAGTATACTACAAAATAAATTCTAAAGTCAAACAAATATTAAAAAGATCAACAATTTAAATAAAGGAACTTTGGCAAATGGGGCAGTTCAAAAGGTTTTGAGTATGGGGGGATTTTGAGTACAAGAGGAGATGGTTTGAGGCAGGGGGGGATTTTGAAGGCAAGGGGCGTTTTGAAGGCAGGGCGTTTTGAAGGCAAGGGGCGTTTTGAAGAAAAGGGGCGTTTTGAAGGCAGGGGGCGTTTTGAAGGCAGGGCGTTTTGAAGGCAAGGGGCGTTTCAAAGGAAAGGGGCGTTTTGAAGGCAGGGGGCGTTTTGAAGGCAAGGGGCGTTATGAAGGCAAGGGGCGTTTTGAATGCAAGGGGCGTTTTGGATGCAGAGAGAAGAGGGGAGGGCATCGCGCCAGAGTCACTCACGGAACCAGGTTCTTTGCAACGCTCTGCATGACGAACAGAGCAGCTTCTACGAGATGCCAGGACTTGAGCGTCTCAGGGGCGCGCAGGATGGTGGCCATCTGATCGAAGCAGACCTTCGAGCGGCAGATGAACACCACGTCTTTGATGAGCTCCTGAACACGCTCCCGAAATTCATAGAAATCATCTGAGTCTTGCAAGACGCCTTCCTGTATGGAGAGTAGGTTTGTAATTAATTCTGATGCAAGTTATTTAAACATGAATCATGAAAAAATATATTGAATTTAAAATTCAAAACGTCATTCTTATGATAAAACTTTTTTAATGTTATAAACACAAAATCTAAATAAACAATGACAGGAAACGTGAGCATTCAATATTTTTTTGCACGTTTAGTGAACTTCCAAAATATTTCACTTAGCAACTATCATTTCATCTTGGCAATAAATTTTCACCAGTTAAAAATTACTGAAAACTTTACTTTGCTGAAAACTTTCATTGTATTTCTAGCTTTACTCACGTGATCGACGTCTATTTGGCAGTGTCTGTAGAGGGCTTCAAAAAGTCGTTCAATGTAAGGCATGAACATCGCGTTTACGTTGTCGCAATTCTTCCGGTATAAGTCCTCAGAGAGTTTGTACCAGAAATTGAAAGTTATTTCGGCGACCTGAAGAACACGAAATCAGCATTAGTAGAAGCATCAAATGAAACACTTCCATTTCTCAACAACATCTCCATCATTAATTTCGTACAAATTATAGTGCAAATGGTACCATTGGTATGAACTGTGAACAACAGGTGTTAACTGAACAACCGGAATGAACTGAACAACAGGTGTTAACTGACTAACTTATATGAACTGAACAACAGGTGTTAACTGAACAACCGGTATGAACTGAACAAGTGATATGAACTGAACACGTGATATGAACTGAACAACAGGTGTTAACTGAACAACCGGTATGAACTGAACAACAGGTGTTAACTGAACAACCGGAATGAACTGAACATGTGATATGAACTGAACAACAGGATATGAACTAAACAACAGGTGTTAACTGAACAACCGGAATGAACTGAACACGTGATATGAACTGAACAACAGGTGTTAACTGAACAACCAGTATGAACTGAACAGGTGTTAACTGAACAACCAGTATGAACTGAACAGATGTTAACTGAACAACTGATATGAACTGAACAACTGGTATTAACTGAACAACCGGTATGAACTGAACAACAGGTGTTAACTGAACAAGTGATATTAACTGAACAACAGGTGTTAACTGAACAACCAGTATGAACTGAACAGATGTTAACTGAACAACTGATATGAACTGAACAACAGGTGTTAACTGAACAACAGGTGTTAACTGAACAAGCGGTATGTGCTGAACAACAGGTGTTAACTGAACAACCGGTATGAACTGAACAAGTTATATGAACTGAACAACAGGTGTTAACTGAACAACCAGTTTGAACTGAACAGATGTTAACTGAACAACTGGTATTAACTGAACAACCGGTGTTAACTGAACAACAGGTGTTAACTGAACAACAGGTGTTAACTGAACAACAGGTGTTAACTGAACAACAGGTGTTAACTGAACAACCGGAATGAACTAAACAAGTGATATGAACTGAACAACAGGTGTTGACTGAACAACCAGTATGAACTGAACAACAGGTGTTAACTGAACAACCGGAATGAACTGAACAACAGGTGTTAACTGAACAACTGATATGAACTGAACAACAGGTGTTAACTGAACAACCAGTATGAACTGAACAACAGGTGTTAACTGAACAAGTGATATTAACTGAACGGTACGTGGTAGTAGAGCTAACTGACCTCCCACTCGTGATGGCCGACGCACATGAGTAACAGGTTCAGGACTTGCGTGGACGCGTTGTTGTCAGGCTGCTGCGACACGATCAGCGGCACCAGCGTCTCCCCAAGCTCTGCAAACATTCTGCACAACACAACATTATATTAGTAAACTACTGATCAATATTACTCTCATTCCTGGTCCTAACTTTCATTTATAAGAATAAGTTCTGGTTGCTGATCAACATTACTCTCATTCCTGGCATAACTTACACCAACATTATTTTCATTTATATGAATAACTTCTGATGCGGTCAAGATGCCCTCAAGAATTGACAACAAAAGTGGGCAGTGAGTTAACAAACGGCCAACAGAGTTAACAGTCGCCCAGCTTTGTACAGTATGAACTAATTTGGAAGAAAAGTGAGGCCGTGATTAACAGTTAGTTAACAACCGCCCAGCTTTGTACAGTGTGAACTAAGTTGGAAGAAAGGTGAGACAGTTGCTTGTTTAATTAGTAGCAAATCTTAGGTAATTAGTAGCGAACCTTGCGTAATTAGTGAGACTGTGAGACAGTTGCTTGTTCAATTAGTAGCAAATGTTACGTAATTAGTAGCGAACCTTGCGTAATTAGTGACAGCAGCGAGGTCTTCGAGAGCCACGGCGATATGGAAAGCTTCCTCGAGCTGCAGGACGGACGCGAACAGCACCTGCGACAGCGCTGGGATCTGGACCTCCTCCAGCATGATCATGGTAGCGCACACGCAGTCTGTAGCGATCTCATGTTGTCTGCAGCAATAAAGAGGTTATAAGGTTGACATACACGCAGTCTGTAGCGATCTCATGTTGTCTGCAACAATAAAGAGGTTATTATGTTGACATACACGCAGTCTGTGGCGATCTCATGTTGTCTGCAGCAATAAAGAGGTTATTATGTTGACATACACGCAGTCTGTGGCGATCTCATGTTGTCTGCAACAATAAAGAGGTTATAATGGTGGCGCACACACAGTCTGTGGCGATATCTTTAATGACCTCGATCAATAAAAAGTTTATCTTGTTTTCTAGAAGTCATTTTGCTGTCAGGAAAAGACTGTACAGCAGGTCTGGCTCACTCACTACATGTGTAAAGATATAATCTTATATATAAGATTATATCTTATATATAAGATATAATCTTATATCTTATATGTAAGATATAATCTTATATCTTACCTTGGAGGGACCCTTGGACAGCTTATCTTGGAGGGACCCTTGGACAGCTTACCTTGGAGGGACCCTTGGATCAGCTTACCTTGGAGGGACCCTTGGATCAGCTTACCTTGGAGGGACCCTTGGATCAGCTTACCTTGGAGGGACCCTTGGATCAGCAACGATAGCAAGCATGAAGTTCACGAGGCTCGTGTTCATGAGCTGCTCCCACTCAGCACAGTGCAAGTTAAACCAAGACGACAAGCATCTCAGCACTCGTATTTCTTGCCGGTTGTCTGATGTTATCACCGCGTGCTGTAAGTGAACAAAACTTGTATTGGCATCATAGCTACAACAGTGCGCTATTAGTCAACTGAGTTGAATTAGTATTACAGTGAAGAAATGACAGTCATAACTTAAGATCATAACTTAACAAAGATCATAACTTAACAGCGCATAAAGTTGCATTGGTATTGCCTCCACAGGAGAATAAATAGGAACTGTTGTTTCAATATAAGCAGCAGAAGGCTTACTAGCAATGCAAATACTGATTCATTTATGAACGTATATTTCTAAAATCTGTGCCCTGAAACATTGAAACAGCTAGTGTGAACAGTGAGCTAGTGTTTTGAACACCAACAGAGTGTTAGTAAAGAGTGAACAAAGGTGAACAGAAATGTTGATGAATGAACAGCAACAAAGGTTAGGTTAATTAATGAAAACTTTTTGGTCGTTATTTCAGAGCTCACTATTGAGTGCAATGATTGTTTAGATTTGCTAGCAAAATAGCAAATGATTAGGTACGAGGAGTGTTTTAAACAAAAATAAGAGTATTAAAAGTGAAAAATGCTTCAAAAAAGTCAGGAGAGGTCAGTGCTTGCTAAGCCACTTTTCAACCTAATAAAATTTAAATCATTTTCAAGAATTAATATGAATTAAAAACTCCAGTGCTTGCTGCAGTTTAAAGGAAGTATTTCAACCTAGAAATTAAACTTGCAATCTAACATTACGGGAAGTTGAAACACTCCGTACTGTTAAATCTTAAGACAATTGTGTCATAATTATCATTAGCTACCACTGCCGTTGCTAGTAACTTACTGACGTTGTCAGTTACCTACCAACACTGCCAACATATTGATCGTGCAATTGTATTTACCAGTGTTACATATACGGGACAAAACGTTAGTGAAAAATGCACTTGACGTTACATTTTTGCAGCAATACTTAGAAAACGCGTTAATATTACAGTAACAAGGATGGCTTACAGATACGCAACAAGACATTAATGAAAAGTGCATTAGACGTTACATTATTGCAGTAATACCTAGAAAACGCATTTAAATATTAAAATACACTGTTAGAAAAATGACTGTTAACGGTATTACCGGCGTTTCAGTGGCCGGTCGGCACGTGAAAAGAAACACCACTTCACCGTTTTTATTCCAATTTAACACCAGAAATCCGTAAAACATCTGATAAAAACGGCGAAACAGTTTATTTTCACGGGGCGACCGGCCACTAGGATGCCGGTGGGACCGTTTTTTTCACCGTTTTTTCTAACAGTGTAACTGTAACTAGGATGGCACTGACCAGTAGCTGGATGAGTCGTGGCACCTGTGACTTGCAACTTGTGTTTAAATATTAATGCAAATATAACTGTAGCAAGGATGGCACTGACCAGTAGCTGGATGAGTCGTGGCACCTGTGACTTGCAATAAGCCTCCATGTGCTCCCTCCTCTTCTGGCCCAGACGCAACTGCCGGGAGTTCAGCTCTTCGGGTAGAGCTATCAACACCTGAAGCAACATAGCTCAGTTATTATCATATTTTATGCTAACTGTATTTCAATACAAGTAATAATTTTATTTAATTCCATGAACCTGAATATTTAAAAATTGATAATACAAATTCAACAAAAATTAATTGCTTTGCCATCACTATAAACAAAAAGACGGTTTCTACAGGTATAAGTGTTAATCAAGAACACTATTGACCTGATCAGTAAATTTCAATACAAATAATAATTCTATTTAATTCAATGAACCTGAATATTTTAAAATTGATAATACAAATTAAACAAAAATTAATCGCTTTACCATCACTAGGACCAAACTAACATACTGATTGCCTTACAAAAGCGCTACTAAAAATAAAATAACATTGCAGTGCAGACATGACAGGGAAAAATAAAAAGATAACAGGAATTTGGTCGTCCAAACAAGCACATGTAAGTAAAAAAACGAGAAAAACATTGCTAAATTAAATAGATGATAGAGTACGTCTTAACTTTCCTAGGTGATGAAGTTCACTCATCAATAACCAAGTAAATAAATTAAACTGCTTGTCTTATTTCATGTACAAAACTCTGGTTTGAAAAATTAATAATATTGCTCAAATTGCTTAGAAAATTCCGCTTATGCAACTGATTTAAATCATGCAAACCAAACAGAACAACAGAACAAACTACTTAGATGTAACAATGAATAGCAGAGAATTAGGGCAGTGAATGAGACTACAAAACTGGTAGTCTTAAGATGAGTAGTAGTAGTAGTAGTAGTAAAAGATTTACTAGCGCTTCAGATAGCGAATCTATTTCGCGCCGGAGGTAAGGTCTTCAGCTACGTCAAAGATGTTTGGTCTCCTCCGTCTCCAAGGCTTATAGCCTGATCCATTTTAGGCGCAGGGGCTGGGCGGTAGATTCCCTGCTCATGGAGCGAGGGTCATGGAACCTGTACGTGGGTTTATCACGATGTTCTATGGTGGTAGCTTCTTGTTTTTGGCTCGGGTCCTCCGCTTCTTCTGTGCTTGTCTGAGTAGCTCCATCGCATTTAGTCACCACAGGCATCGTTGGTCTTAGAGGCTCCCTTCGCTTTGATAATTCAGTATTTGGGGCTATGGTTTGCCGGGTTGCTTCGGCAAAGGTCGTCCGTGTGTTAACGTATCGGCTCCCAACCATTCGCTTTGCTTCCCCATAGCTTATGCGTTCTTTTGTTTGGGTGGCTATTATTTCTTCTTCCATTCTGTAAGTAGGGCATGTGTTGGAACCCTACTTCTTAAGATGAATGAAAGGAGTGTTCATGAAACCTTGGACTGCCGACCAATAATGAAATTACGACTAATTTTACTAATAATGAAAATACAGCTTATTAGGAATAAAACTGCAGACCATAGACCAATAAAAGAAAAAAATGACTAATCTAACTAATAATGAAAAGATTGTTCATTATCACCAGAGCTGTGGACTAATAATGGATAAAAAAAGATTACTCCTACTACTAATAAGAGAAGTAATCATTAACCTAAGACTAATTAAAAGTTTATTCATTCAAGTGCAGCCCCAAAATGAACACTTTAGTCAGCAAATATCCCAGTTATACATTACCCAATAATGGATAAGAAAAGATTACTCTTACTACAATAAGAGAAGTAATATTATTTAACCTAAGACTAATGAAAAAGCATATTCATTTAAGTGCAGCCAAAAATGAACACGTTAGTCTGCAAATATCCCAGTTATTGCCACACATTACGTGACCATCAGAAGTGTGATGTGTTACCTCCAGCAGAGGTACGAGGTTACATCTCCGCCCGCCGGCACCAAATTCACTGCATATATCACCTGTAAATAAGCAATACAAAATTATCAAGAAATGGGAAATGATAAAAAAAATTTAAAACCTTCAATTCTTCTCCTATGCAAGTGACAGGTTTAAATACTGAAGAATATCAGAAAAAATTGCATACGCAGTCCAGTGACATGGCTACTATAGATGTGTGGTATTTTTATACAAGATTTCATATGAAAAAGGCTTCATGAGTAAGGAATATGATATTTATTTTAGAATAAATAATATTCCAAAAAATGTTCACACATTTCTGTATGTTTCATCATCCAAATAAAGTAAAACAAAAGAGCAAATGAAACATTATGAATCAAAAGAATCTTGAACAAATAACATACCTAAGAGATAGATCTTCAATCATATATGCTTGATTTATTTAGTCTGTATGGTCATAATCATATTTACTTCAATTATTTAGTCGGTATGGTCATAATCATATATACTTTAACTAATTAGTGTGTATGGCCATCCAGAGATACACATTAAGCTCACCAAAAGGGTCTTGCCATGATTGAATTATTTAGTCTGTATGGTCCTAATCATATATATTTCAACTAATTAGTCTGTATGGTCATAATCATATATACTTCAATTAATTAGTCTGTATGGCCATCCAGAGATACACATTGAGCTCACCAAAAGGGTCTTGCCAGGAGCTCATGAGTAGCACAAGGTCGGCCACGGCAACACAAAGCTGCGTAGCGATGCCCTGGTGGGTGTCGTCGGTGATGTGGCTCAGATGGTCCAGCATTGAGTTGCGGAAACTTTCATGTGATTCCAGAGGGAGCTCCACGAAGTAATACTGGCCAAAACAAAAAATTTATTGCAACAAAGTCATATTTTATTATAAAATTTCAATTTTTTAAAGCCCCATAGTGAATAATGGCACTGTGGAGATTCCATGAAGAGAAACAATTTCAAACAAATGTGCAATGGCCACTAAGTCATATTTTTATACGGTCTCAGAAATTCTACCAACCTTCAATATCAGAATAAAACTCAGAAAAGAATGGTGTGCCAAGCAAATCTTCAATGAAAACAATCTCCTACTCTATTTAATTACTTATACTCATATATAGTAAACAGATATATATTTTTAACAATCATTTGTTCAACATCCAATCATTAACAGGATCAAAATTGATATTAGTTATATAGGTAACTTTCCAAAATTAATGAGAACAAATTTATGAGCATTGTAACTCATGAGAAATTTAAAAAATAGTGATGTATTCAAGGCATAATAATGACAAGGAAATGGCACATTATTATTTATTACACTTAGAGAAGAATGGTACATTATAAATATATATTGCTCAAAACTGCATGATGCATGATGACTCTCACAAAGGAAATAGAAAAATAGGTATAATTAAGAAACAACTTTCTATATTGTTTGTGAGAGCAGCAAACTTACTTGAATTTTTGTGCGGAGAGTTTGAGATGCAAAAAAGCAAGATCGGATATCTCTCTTCATGTGTAGTAGCTGGTCTGCTATTTTCCATGACTGTACCTGAATTATTCAATAACATCAGAATTCAACCTGAAGAATCCACTGATCAAATTATTATTATCTAGAATTATTATCATAATTCCATAATGAAGCAGCAATAAGTATTTAAAAAAAAACTTGAAACTTATATGTAATCCATACAAAAAAAAAAACAGGTAGAAACATAACCAAGTTATATGCAGAAATAATTCAAAGTAATAGATAAAACATAGTGCTGTCTGATTTACCAATTAGCTATCTTATAAACAACATAAGTTCCATAATTTATTATTGACATTGTCAGGCAGCCATGTTAAGCACAACCTTATATATTATTTATATTATATAATTCTACCTGAAGACAGAGATTTGTTGACTAAGTGAGTGAGGGATAAGTAAGATATCATCTGTCTAAAGACCTTCGGCCACACTTTCAAAACTCGCTAAGTGAACCTAAGTACTTATGCTCTATTTTCTTGTCTATGATTGGTGGATTTTGCTTCAAATATCATCAATGATTGGCAGATGAACTTACAATCTCTTAACTTTTTTTGAAAGTATGGCCCCTTTTCTTGATATGGGGTGGTAATACACGAGAGATCCAATACAGGTAAAGGCTAAGACCTTGACTGTTAGGTTGTAGTAAAATAACAATTGTTACATGACAACAAGCCAGTTACTGGGGCTTAACTAAGGCTCCCTGCCCATTTATCAACCAAGTACTTCCATTCACTGGGTTCTTGTCCTTGTGACACATATGCTTTATAAGCCGTCAACTCAGCGTCTGAAGCAAGCTCTAAGTTACATAGTGGACTCAAAGCTACAATCAACAGAGAATCAAATGCAGTACAATTCCAGATATTCAAATGTGACATAATCAACATAGAATCAAATGTGTCACATTGTTGACGTGTCACAAAGAAATAGGAATTCTAACAAAATGTACTCACTGATTTCTGAAGGTTGCCCAGCCACTCTGAAGCTTTGTGTAGGTTTTCTTTCTGTTCACTAGCTGCTGCATTACTTTGATCACAGTATAAAGTGTCTATTGCTGCAAACACTTCATTCAATGCTACCTCCATTGTAAAATGTCAGCTTAATCACAAATTTAACTAAATTTTACTAAAATTCATTGAAACCTGGAAAAAAAGAATGTTTAGAAAATATTTGAGGCTAACAATCTTGTGAATGAAATTGGTATTGGCAATAAATCCTCAATAATATTGCAAAATATTGTGTCTTGAAGAGCAGTTTTGGTTACACACCTGACAATTTGCCTAAAAATACTGTCAAACATGGTGCAATTCTATAGTTGATATAAAAAAACATTTTGAGGTTTTAAAACAATCAGTGTTTGTCCACAGCACACTGGCACCCCTTTTCATAAGACACAGTGGTGTATTAAATAAACAAAAGACAGCATCAACCAACAACAGCAAGAGTTTAACCGACAAGAAATTTTAATATGATTTAAAATAAAAGTACTTATTTAAGTCAGGTTACATCATTAAATGCCTAATAAATATTAAAAATTTGTGTTTCCACATAGATTTCAATGCTGTTGACATTGAGAAACTTCAAAATATCTCTCTTCTCGTGTATACTTGTTAAATAAATTATAATTTGGCTATAATTATCACTCAAAACTTCTTTCAGCACTGATTTATCCATTCAGTCCAATCAAATGTATGGTTTTCAAAAGTTGCATGACAGTGATTGCTGGATATGTGTTTATGATAAAGAATTAGATATGTGTTTATACTACTAATTTATCATAGTTGTATCACCATATTTCCATGCTTCATTACAAGTGAAATTCATCACCTGAGATGAGAATTTTCAAGTTGAATGAGAAAACTAACATCACATGAATACCCCATTACAAGTATGGACAAAAGTCTATCTATGAAAAGTTTTCTAGGAGCTACAGTCAAAAGAGAAAATTAATATAGAATCTAATTACTTTGCCACAACTTTATTTGTTGATATTCAAGACTAACGTGTATTGATTATGCAATTTTATAGTATTTAATAAGAATTGAAGCATATTTTGAGTCTAGAATGGCCCAAAACATTTCCAGATATACTTGCTTTACAACATATTTCTTATCGAGAAGCATTGCACCTTGAGTAATGTATACAGAGACATTTCACTCAACTCTCCTAATGTTGCAACTGGTGGTATTTGCAGCATTGAAGTATTTTGTAACCTTTGCAAGTAAGCACGATATTTTTCTGCTTAATTGTTTATCTTTTATACTGAATTGCTGCTTCATGAATTGTGATTCATGCATGTTGTTGCTCAACCAACTCAGAAAAAAATTGTGACTGCCATTTTAGGAACTTCAACTTGGTCACTTGTAAAGTTATACTTCATTGTAAATATGATATCTCGGATTATCTCCAAAAAAATTAAATTTTATATTATTTATCAGAGATACCTTTACATTAAATGTAAGAATTTTGGGTTACTATTTGTCTTTGATCTAAAATCAAATTAGATTTAAATTCCTAACTTGGGTTGGGCAGAAGCCCTGTCTCTGAATGGAATCACTTATCACTACACTGCCCCAAGACCTGGTGTACTTTGCCAGGGCTGATATGATAAGAATTGCCTATCCTAGAGGCTACTCAGGCTAGAACTAGAATTGCATCATGCTTTTTATGTCCTCATTTTTCAACCTTTAGACTTTGCATTTCAACTTTTTAGTAGAATACCTATTTAATACTCCAGTCAACATTTTTTTCTCAAATCATCATGGGTGAAAAAAAAAATAAAAATTTTATAAAATATCGCTGATGCTTTAGGTACAAGCAATTAGCAAATGACCAGCTAGTAAGAAAAATGTATACCATAAAATGGGGTAACTTAGACCACTTTTTTTTATAAATGATGCCATTTTTTTACCAGCTAAATTAAACTTGAATGGAAACATGCATGTTACATGGCGTACCTACCTAGCACACATAATAAAAATACAGGTCTATACTCTAGCTTCACTCACCATAAATTGCTGGCTCCTGCCTCTCATAGTCTTTATGTAATTTCAAAAAAAGTGATGGTCTTTGTTACCCCAGCTCTTGGGGTATCGTAGACCGGGTGGTAAAATCAATTATATTTTTTGGCAAAATAAGTCCAAATGACTCCAGGTTTTGGTGCATTGTAGTAGAACTCTTCTAGTTACATATGCAAATGACAAACTTGAGGAAAGTGTCATAGTTTGCAAATGGGGGGCACCGCCCCATAATGTGGGAAATGTGACTACCAAATGGCAGCCCTGACAGGGTAATATTGACTGGCTTGGAAATTAAGCTAAAATTACCATATATAACTCTGTAGAGTCTGAAACATAAAGAAAAAACATAAATATGTTGTCAAACATAAAATATGTTATATATGGTAATTTTATATTAACTTCCAAGCCGGTCTATGTTACCCCGTCAGGGCTAACATTAGGTGGGTTCCCCCATTTGGGGGCGGCGCCCCCCATTTGCAAACAATGACACTTTCCTAAAATTTGTCAATTGCATATGTAACTAGAAGAGTTCTACTACAATGTATCAAAACCTGGAGTTATTTAACCAAAAAAATAAAAAAATTGGAGGGGGTACTCTGACAGGCTTTAAATAATAGTTTTTTTTTGTGGGTCACATTTTTAATTTTTTAACCTATTAGATATGCATACTTTTTAAATCTTTCTATTGTGTTATGTAGCCTAAATATTAGGCCTTTAATGCCCATTGACAAAATTTTTTTATGTCAAATAGTTTTTGAGTTTTGAGGATTTTTGTTAAAAAAACTAAAAGTGGTCTAAGTTACCCCGCCGGTCTAAGTTACCCCATTTTACGGTACTTTCCTAGCCATTGGACGATAAGTCTATCAATATAAGTCAATAATCAGAGCCATGAATCCAATTTTTCAAATCATGGAAAACCAATTTCAAGCTACAAACTCATTCACCAACATCAGCTTTTTTCAATCAAAATTCTACTTTCACCCTAAAATAGCAAGATAATTTCTTTCTAAGTAATGAGACAAATATGCATATGATAACATTATTCTTTTCTACTTTATAATTTATTAATAATAATTATATTATAGTTTCACTGTTTCAGGGCTGAGTCTGACAAGACTGACATCACCATAACAGATAACTCATGGGCTCAGACGCTCAGTCGAGTCATTGTTATCCTCATTCAGTCATTGTGGCCATAGTGGCAAAGCAGAGAGTTTTTTAGACTCTCCCTCGCCTCAAGTTCATTTTTGAGTCCTATAAGTTGACCAGTAAAGTATCCTAGATACATCATTATCATACTTAAGAAATTGGTTTAAATCTTGAGTACCTAAATGAGGAAATTAAAAATGAACTGATTCTAAAAAAGCTCTGGTTTGCCACTATGATTGTGGCAAACCAGTGATTTTTTAGAATCAGTTCATTTTTAATTTCCTCATTTACTCAAGATTTTAACAGATTTCTTATGTATGATAATTCTGGTATCCAAGATACTTTACAGGTCTACTTATACTTATAGGACTCAAAAATGAACTTGAGGAAGAGTCTAAAAGACTAAAAAACTCTCTGCTTTGCCACTATGGTTATCCTATTCCTAGGTATGTTAGGTATAGACTTATAGGCTTATAGTAGCCTATACCTAGGTTATAGACTTATAGCACTTCCACACATAGCCTAGCCTAACCCAAGTTCATTTACCAAATACTGAAATAGTGTGCCACTGTGTGCGTTTATGTACTTCAACATAAATAAAATTTACAAACTAATATAAAATGAAAACCAGTAGGTAAATACAGTCGCTTAGCATTAATTTATTGAAGTTCAAGTACCTACCTAGCACCTAGGCTAGTACTAGTAGGACTAGGAAGTAGGTAGCTCTAGTAGGTAGGCTAGGTATTTACACTAACGGAGTTTTCTTATTCCATGCACAGGAGAGTGGAGACTTCTGTGCATAATTTCATATCCACAAGTAATTACCTTGTGATATTTGATTTACGCACGATAGATTTTTAGATTATCGGGTTTGATATGCAAAGCATTTACATACAACGTAACGTAGGATACCAATTCGTTGTTTCAAAGTAACGTCGTGCAGTTACACGAAAATAGCTCAAGGTTTTATCCGCTTTTTTTTTTTTTTTTTAATTTGATTTGAAGACTTCGGGTATGCAGGTAGCACACCTCCCAGCCTGAGCACAACTCAGATTTTGATCACTCCGCTTCACTTGTTGATTTCACTTTGTATTTCTCTTTCAGCACTTCCACCAACCAGTGTGGCAGTAAATAGTGAGGAAGTGCTTGGGTGCTCAAATGTAGCTCTCACAGGCGCCGGAACTGCGCGCTACATTGCGTAGTTCAGGTGGCTATGAGCTCGTGTGCTTGGGTACTCAAATGTAGCTCTCACAGCCATCGGAACTACGCGCTACAACACATAGTTACGATCGTAGCGTGTAGATCAATACGGCGCATCAGCCATATCGATCGTAAATCGCGATTTATGAAGAAGCATAATTGGCAACCGGCGTCCAGTGGCATCCACCTTGGCGTCTTTGGTGCATGAAATTGGCGTCCTCGACCTATGTTGTGCCATGCTCTAGCAGCTCTACAGTCTGGCAAGTTAGCATATGTGTTTTAAGCCTTTAAGAAGTTCATTTTTTTGCCTCAAATAACAATGTTGGGTAGAAAAAGTGGTCTTGGTGGATCAAAATAATATATGAACCTTCAAAATTAGAATTCCATCCTGACCGCAAGTCCGTAACTACGTAATCGTAAACTTGATGTTGACATTTTTTTGGCAGGAACTCTTTGCAACCGATTTCCAGACAATCTTCACTGCATCCTGATCCATCCAACATACTGGAAACCTTACTTTTTTTAAATAGTTGGCCAAAGACTGACAAATATATTAAATGCAAGAATTTCAATCTAAATGTGTCGGCAAGATCTTCTGAAGGCGTAAATTTTGCTACTCAAGCGTCGCCAAAGATCTTGCAATATTCATCCACTCTCTGCACAGTGGTATAGCGGCATAGCCTATCTATAGAGTATAGGGGAATAGGTTATGCCGTTATGGCACTTCCACACATAGACATAGGCTAACCCTAGTTCATTTCCCAAATCAAATATAGTGTGCGTTTATCACTTTATGTTCTTCAACATAACTAAAATTTACAAACTAATATAAAATGAAAGCCAGTATAATACAGTTGTACAGTCGCTTGGCATTAATACATTGAAGTAGGCTAAGTAGGAAGTAGAAGTAGGTAGGTAGGCTAGGTAGGTACCCTATTTATACTAACGCAGTTTTCTTATTCCCAAGCACTGGAGAGTGGTCAGTGGAGACGTCTATGCATAATTTCATGTCCACAAGTACCTAATTACCTTGTGATATTCGATTTACGCGTGATAAATTTTTAGGTTATCGGGTTTGAAATGCATAGCATTTACACACAACGTAGGCTAACGTAGGATACCAATTCCTTGTTTCAAAGTAACGTCGTGCAGTTACACGAAAATAGCTCAAGGTTTTATCCGCTAACATGAGCTTTCCCTTCTAAATGCCGATTCTTTTTCCCTAGAACGACGCTTCCTGGAAAAATCTCCTTGAGATAAAAAAATGTCCACATGATTGCTTGGTTTTTAAAAACGGAAAAATATTTTTTAAATCTTTCAATACAGCAAAATTTATGTAGACTGCCGTAGCACACATAATCGGCGTGATATATATATATGAATTAACTGCAGTGATCTTAGTTATCGCAGTATTTAATTAACATGCTTGCATATACTAAGCTGGTTGAAGTTTTGGATACGGATGAACAACCTCAAATGAATTAGGGGCATGGTGGTACAGTAAAGTCTGTCTGTACAGTCTTGGTACTGTTCAGAGTACTAAAATTGAAGCGGTCAGTTTTGGTTTAGATCCCAGCTTCTTGCGACAGTTCTAGTGATGAAAATCTGCGAGATGGCCCCGGAGCAGTGAGATGCGGGTTTTGAAATTCCAGCAAGCTGCGAGAGTTCCGTGATGTCTAGAATCAGAGACAGGCCAGACTAGGCTTATTAAACGTAAACCCCCATTACAATGTCTAAAAAGTTAAAGATTTAGCTGGCCGAAATTAAGTTGCAATACTTTCAATGATGACCCCCAATGACCATTATAATCAATATTCGATGTATATGCCATCATTCTCGGCAGAGAAAGGCTTGTGATGATAACAGGTTACGATAGGAATGGAAATCAAATCATGGCATCAAAACCATGACACATAGAATTTTTGAATAGCGACACTGAGTTCCAGTATTCGAATCTTAACCTTTTAAACTAACCTGAGTAGAAAACTTGTAATTTGTCTAATGATTTGTTGACAATTCTTGGTACTCTAAAAAAACTGAATAGGTCATATTGTCCAAATAGTGACCTACTTCCTCACCCACAGCACGAGCATTGAACGGACGTAGCATTGGTATGCCCTTTAGTGGGGCCAAGCATGGTTAGGATGATCCTAACAAAAAGCATCGCTATTTGGACAATGTGTCACTCATTTCCCTGAGTGTAGGAAATAAAGTTAGGTTGCCCTCTGTTTAAAAATGATACAGGAATAAAATAAGAGAGTGTAAAAATACATGTATGCAAATTGTCTACATTGGCTCAACAAAAACAGTGGTGGTAAAAATACCACCACTGTTGGCAACGGACTGTTGAATCTCTCATAAACATATAGAGGCTAGAAGTCTATCAATAAAATATAGTTCACTGAATAGAACGCTTACAGTCGAGTTATGTTCTTATTGTTAAATAAATCATGTCGATGCAAGCAACATACAAGTAGTTTTACGTATGTAACTTTGTACAGTTAGTGGCCAAATGTTTACTAGCGCTTCAGCTATTAAGCTATCTCGCACCGAAAGTCAAGATGAACATCACCATAGAGGTGGAAGGTCTCAATTATTCATCACCCACATGGGGCGGAAGGTCTCAGATGTCCAGCCCGCTGAAGCTGGCTCGAAAGAAGCAGCGTTAGCATCTCAAAGAGACGAAGTGACAAGGAGGGACAGGTGAAAAGCAACAGAAACTAAGACACTCGAACTAGAGGTCGCTTACACGGGACGTCGGCCTCCCGCACGAGAGAGACAGCGAAGGGAAATGTAAGGAATCCTACCTACATAATAACTTAACCCTACAACTGAGACCTACAGTCAGACACCGTGAGCTCAGCGGTGGGGCGCTCAGGAACAATCCCCCTAGGAGCGCGAGATCCCATAGGACTTCTAACGAGCAAAGACACACGTCAGAAGTCCCCCCTGAGGGGACAGGCAACATAAGTTACGTGAGTTTGCATTAGATATAACTGACCTAAATTACAAGTCTGCATTCGCTTGTTGAAATAGATGAAACCAGGAACTAATTATGAAGTTTTCACAATTTTGTATACATAATTCATCACCAACATCATTTTACATCACATTCAAGGTAGCGTGCCCAGACAAATTACCTCCTATAACTAACGGGCAACATCCACATGCTGATAGATCCACCGCCGAGTCCATCCTTATTAAAACTAATGTACGACATCAAACATTTGGCCAAAATTAGTCGCCACGGAAATGACGACATGTAAAACAAAAAAAGCCAAGAACGGGTATACATTCAAGCTTACGCTTACTTTTTGTTGACAACATTCGGTACTTGCGGAATATTTTTTTGCTGGAAACATTCGGTTCTATTAGTTTGGATTATGCTGACTACATTAGTTTTTTTACTACATTTCGTTGCTTTCAAAATTAGGTAGTACAAGTCATATCTAAATTAAATCCCTCTAGATATTGCAAACAGAAACGTAATTGAAGAATTTACATCAATAAAAGCTAAGCAGAGAACAGCATGAAATTCCCTACCTCATCCATAATATTGCAAGAGTCATATTGCCGAGGTACCTCACGAGTAGCAGCTCCGGCAGCAGCGCATACGTAACAGTAGAATAGAATAGAAGTGTCGGCGCTGAAGAAATAGGCCCATGGCCTGTTGCCGATTCTTGAACTTTTCGTGACTTGATTCACAAGGGATCCGGCCTTTGGAATTCAATCTTTCCATAACTGACGATTGATTGAGATAGCTGATACACGGTCGTGACCTGAACCCGTACGGCAATAAGAATCGCTGCATTCACTATCTTAAGACTTAACTACTTTTAAAAAAGAAATACGATAAAAGTTATTCAATTTCTAACATGAAACAAAATAAATCTATACTAATTTTCTATGGTATACTTTATAATAAACACAATTGATTTATAGATACTATTGCCAGTAGGGAGCATACCAGTAAAATAGCTACGTATAACGTTGTTGTGATCACCACGGCGTACACACAGCAACTCTTACGGTCGCAACAACAAACAAATGAGCTGAAATATTATTTGAACATTATTACGAGATAAGCTAAGTTCAAGTGATGTCGATGAAGGCTTCTGGAAATGCTTCCTTGTGAACGATCTCTTCCTGAAAATAAGGCACGCTAAAAACTAATTATATATAGTCTTGTTCTCAAGCATTCGTGTTTTAGACAAAAAAATACAATAAAAAAAACTTACGGACACGGCAAAATACGCATGAGCAAGGCAGTCACACACACATTTAATTTGAACTTGTATCCGAAATGCCCCCAGGCACCAAAGGAGAACCAAAAATAACCAAGATTGAATGATTTACAGGATGGAAAATTATTTACCGATCTCTGATAAGGCACAGTTGGCATCGTGTTATATCACGCCGCAGTGTTTAATACATCAAGACAAAACACTGTGATCATCAGATAGTGAAATACAACTACATCATTACAAATTTGATATGGTAGAATACAAAAGATTGGAGAAAAACTGGGAGATGACCTATGGTTGTTGTGGCATACCACGCGTGGGAGCCAGCGTAGCACCTGAAGGGATCTATAGCACCATCATCACACTAGCGGGCACCACGCTTCACCCTGACGTCTACTGACGGTAATGATAGGTTAACATAAGCCGTAATACCAAACTCGTTATGTACACGTGGTGGCCGATTTTTCATATGCTGGTGGATTTGTAAAAAAGCTGCAAGTGATTAGCTGTCAGGTATGAACTTTCAATTATATTTGGTAGTACTGCTGCAGGTCTTCTTTAGATGTAAATGCCATGGACGTAAGTTGATGTCTCTGCAGATAAGAATTTCTATTGTCTGCCAGAAATTAGCTACCATTACCCGGCTTTCAGGTAAGAATAGCCTTGACAAGAGTTAACTTATTAGCTGACAATGGGTTAAGGCAGCACTCAGCACAGTAAGACTCCATTAGCCTGACGAGCGGCTCAGAGGATGCGGTTAGTAATATCTTTCTGTCTTAGACACGCCGAGCTTCTGATGCTGGAGGTCCAGACCGTCCTGCTCCATAGCCTCCTGCTGCTGAACGCCGGCCTCGTGTTGCTGCAGCTGCTGCAGCACCGCGCACATAATCTCGCGTAGGATCTGCATGTGTATTATGGTGTCAATACTTCGTCATCACCTATAAAACCGACGATATTCCATGAGATGAAAATACTCCACCTCGCGCGTGATCAACTATGAAACCGATGATATTCCATATAAAAAATCACAATTTACTATTACGTATATGACCAGTACCGACATAACTATTCTGAAAGCCACAGAACCACTATCACAGTCCCAATCCCAAACATCTTTTTGTATAATTTCAAAAGCATGGTTGGCGGCGGGTCGTGACCATAACTAATTTTTATAAGGTAATTGACACGTAAGCTATTCACAATAACTGCAAAGGTAATTGACACGTAAGCTATTCACAATAACTGCAACGGTAATTGACACATAAGCTATTCACAATAACTGCAAAGGTAATATGACACGTAAGCTATTCACAATAACTGCAGAGGTAATATGACACGTAAGCTATTCACAATAACTGCAGAGGTAATATGACACGTAAGCTATTCACAATAACTGCAACGGTAATTGACACGTAAGCTATTCACAATAACTGCAAAGGTAATTGACACGTAAGCTATTCACAATAACTGCAAAGGTAATTGACACGTAAGCTATGCACAATAACTGTAAAGATCAGACGAATAAAAGGAAGCTAGAACCTGTGGCTTGCAGTGCTCCTCAAGCCAGGCTATGACGGAGCCAGAGATTTCGGTAAAGTTGCCCGTGATGACGCTCGGCTCGAACGTCTGGTACAGGGAATCCATCACCGCGCGGAACTGAGGCAAAACAAATAACAGTCAATTATTTGGATTTGCAAAATGACACTTCTATCTACGAGGGATAAGGTTCAGTAAAATAAGGAGGAATAAGGTTTATACGAGGAATAAGGTTGTATAAAATGAGGAATAAGGTTTATACGAGGAATCATTTTTTAGAAAATAGAACTTTTATTTTTTCGAATTTGAAACGGTGACGTAAATGAAAACGAAGATGTTGCGAGTGTTGCGTGGCGCCACGCAACACTCTGGCGCCATGCAACACTCTGGCGCCACGCAACACTCTGGCGCCACGCAACACTCTGGCGCCACGCAACACTCTGGCGCCACGCAACACTCTGGCGCCATGCAACACTCTGGCACCATGCAACACTCCAGCACCATGCAATACTCCAGCACCATGCAATACTCCAGCACCATGAAATACTCTCTCAATACTCACGACTTGGAACTTCATGTCATCGGAGACCTGACGCAAAGCGTTGCCAGGACGCTGGCTGTGGTGGGCAGCCACGATGGTCTCGTAGTTCAGCTTGAGGATGGTCATGGCCATAGCCTTCTTCTGCAGCTCGTTTAGCTCCTCTTCTTGCTTCTTCTTGCAGTTTTGCAAGAACTGAAAGAAATTTATACAACATTAATAACAATATCTTTGAATACATGGGGAAAATTTTAAAATTAATATGCTGAAAGTAGTGAAAAATGTTCATAGAGTATCATTTGCATATGACTTTTTAGAAAAATAAACCTTAAAAAATAAAACATGGGTAATATATGGACATTTTTACCCGCACTTTTCCACCAGCTTATAGCTTTTAATATATAAATAAATGCTTTACATTCAATGTGAATAATGGATGGTGGCTCAGACGTTAAGAAGTTAAATAGCTATCAGACATGAATAACTTGTCTCAATTTGACACAAATTGTGAAAACACCCCCACAATGCCATGCTGTACACTAATTATACTAAACATCAGGTATTATCAAACAGGAAATTCAGTAGAAAGTTTAAAGCAATGAAAACTATTAAAAATTCAGCATAATCTAATCAAAATGCTTCAGAGACTGGCATCTGCATTAGCTAGCATTATATTATAAAAATTCAAAGAATGAAACTCGCACAAAAATAACATTTAATTTTGTCATGGATTTTAGGGGATTTTTGGTAGCCTATAGCCACAGTAAAGAGCTAAATAAATACTAAATATCAAACAATGATTTTGTAGGACTTTTCATTTGCTGATAAATTTGCAGTCAACAAATTAAATAAAGCTTATCTATTCAGAGAATGGGACCCGAGTTAATACTAGAACATAGTCATTGATTCCGTATGAATTAGTATTTAAATAGCAATGCCATCAAACCCGTAGCCAATAACTACAGTAAAGAGAATGTGACCTGACTTGAGATGACTAATAGAACGCAAACATGGAAATTTTGGGACTGAGTCAGCCACTAAATTCGTAACCAAGAGCCAATTTGTAGTTGATAAGCAAGAGAACTTTACCTGCATGTAGTCTATGCTCTTCTGCAGGATGGTGGCCTTAGAGAGCTTACATGGGGGGAGACTCTCACTGTTTGAGGGCATCATAGGCACCAGTTCCTGCAGTGCATCATAGCCTTTCTTGATGCTGTCACGCCTCTTCTGCTCAGCCTGTAAATTAATTGGTCAACATGTAGGTTCTGGGCACAAACATGCAATTATAGTAGGTATGGGACATTCATGAAAAAAAATTATAACGTCAACATTATTTTGGGATGTATTTTTTACTTTTGCTGTTTTGGAGTTAACTCTAATTACAATAAATGTAAATTATGAAGTGTATGAATTTATTTTTTGAATACATTTGCACAAAGCCTTATTATATAAAATTTCTTCAAAACAGTTTCAACCCTAATAAGCTAGCCAAACTAAAAAATTATTCAAAAATATTTGTGCTATTATCTTATTTCTCAATTTGAAATAAAACACACCAAATTTAATGCAAAGAAATTTTTACAGAAACATTACATTATTACTGCATTTTGAGATGTCAGCTTTGCAAGACAAAGCCCTGGTATCAACTACAACATAGCAAGATCAGGTAAATTATTGAAATTTCTGTCATTCATGAAATTTTTATTTATGGAAGCTCACCTGAGTGTGGGCTTCCCTGCGCTTATCCTTGAGGTTGTTGCCAGCACCACCAGCAGCAGAGGGCGGTGGACCAGCTCCAAGATCACTGTCTTCATCATCCGAGTTGTTGGCCGAGGATGTGACATTGTTTAGGGAGCCAGCTGAGCTGCACCGAGATATTGGGTACCGAGACTCACCGTCTTCTGAGCAAAGTAAAAAAGGAATGAATATTATGTACAGCCTTAGGCTAGTCTATTATTGATATAGTAAAGATATGAGTTATACACTCATGAGCCTAGCTTAATAGGCTAGCATGAACAGTTGGACAGGCTATACAGTTTCATATGATTCCTTCCATAAGTTTAAGTACATTGCTCAAACTTCACTTGTTACTGGGTCAACAGTGCAATTCCAGTTATGTATTTAATTGCAGGCTGTAAGGGTTTCCATAGAAATATGAAAATTTTCCACTTGCATAATAATAAAGTAAAAAACTTCCACACATTGGTTTTTCTGAAGTGCTAACTTGCTGCTACATACATAATTTCAAGGGATAGGGGTAAAACTAAGACTAAAAATTTACCTCTTAGTTCTCAACTTTAACAGGTGTGGAATATATCTATTTTAACTTTCTGAGCAATGACAAAGATTAAGACTTTCTTACCATTTTTGGAGCTTCAATATTCCTGCTAAGTGCTAGCTGAATTATCTTCAGTCCAATTGTTTACAAAATTACAAAATTAAGCTAAGAAATTCTAGAGTACTCAAAAATATTTCACTTCGGAAAGTTGGAGACTTTGAGTCTCAGATTGGTAACTACAAGATTTTAATTCAGAGTAAAAAATCTCAAGTTTTCTGAATGTCACAACTCACAAGCTGAATTACAAAATAAGCCTCCAGCCTCCTTTCCATAGAAATAGGTATAAGCTCCAAAAAATTAAAATGTATTAGCCTAGTAGACAAGATGAGGATTGCCAAATTCTAAAAACAGCCTAGCTGGGAGAAAAAGTGATTCAGCTGATTCATGATTATCACAAAATAAAAAACAATCCACTGAATCCAGGGCCAGGCTTCCAGCTGGCACTGTGTAAAATATTCTAGCTCAACACTAAATAAAACCAAGGAAAAGAGGGTTGGGGAGCTAAATTACAACTGAAAAATGAGTAAAATGTGAGACTGAAGGGAGTGGGAAACTACCTGTATCTATATGACAACTGATGAACATCAATACATCATGACCTAGTGAAATGAGACTGACTTAATGACCTTTGTAGTTAGTAATGTGGTTTTGTTTGATCAGAGTGGTAAAATGTTGTAAACTAAAATAAAGTAGTCCTGAAGTCTAAAAACTGCAATATTCAACAATAAACACACAAACAAAATTTCATATGTAATGCAATATCAATATCTTTATCAAACATTTTATTCAAAATGTTTACCTGACATTTCAGGCAATATGTCCTGGTCCAGTCCCAGAATCCAAGGTAGGCCTAATTAGTTATTCCTGGTGTGGTGCGGCTTAAAATCTTAGCTCACTGCATATCTACGAAATATTTCCCAAGTAAGTTATCTACAACTAATTTTAGCTTCGTTTTAGGATGTACTGAATTGTTTACCAACGGAGCTTCGTGTTGGATATGTACCAAGCTAAAGTCAGATCCTATTCAACAACTTAGCTACAATTTTACAAGGTCAGTAGGTGCGATAAAAAAGAAATACCTAGTAGTGCGAACTTAACGTGTTAAATTAAAATTTGACATTTTTTCGTATGTGCCTTGAAAAACAGGCGGTCGATATTATTATTAATGTATGGTTATGGATCCTCATTTTGACGAAATAACATTTTGCCCGTCTGGCCTTTGTTTTGATTCAAAAAAAGGTAGCCAAATGCGTTAGCAGCAATGAAAAAAAGTAAGTCTATTATGCGAATAGGATTAGGAAAAATTAAATTGTACGACAACTTCGAAGATTATGCCTGTATGTTTACCAGCCACCAGATGGGCATGAGAAGTGATTCTCATTGACAATTGTACTCTCAACCCGTTAACGCGTTCCTCTTGTGCCACTGCAAGTGTGAAGTTATGTGTTTACTTTTTGCTTACGTAAATCCAAATCCTCGATCTGGGCAATATAAGGTGATAGTGGTAAATAATAGAGATGAAATTTACGCAAGGCCAACAAGACCTGCTCATGTGTGGGAAGGGAATCCTAGTATTATTGCAGGTGAGAATTTTCTTTTCCATTTTCTTTGACATAATACTTGCAGGCCCATGGTCAACAATGAGTGGGCCAATACTGAAACTTGATAATAACTAATACATTACTTTTCTAATAATTAAAATATATAATAATATTTGCCGTTTCGGTTTGTATTCTTTTTCGGCATTAAATCTAAATCTCTCACACCCATAAATTAATTTGTTGTTGATATCTTAAATCTTATTCAACTTAATAATATTGTTATTTATAAAATCATCATTTCAATAAACTTTATTATGAATGAGTGGATGGGGGCTGCGCAAGTTATTAAATAATGTTGCGAATTATTGAATGATCATAGTTTGATTTATTTTACGCTCCTCATTCATTTATACCCTACCTGTTTCCCGTGACCGCTCGATTTAGCGGCATACGCGCTAAAATTACTACAAGGAGGCGATTTGTGGAGTAGAACTAAAAAAATAAGCGTTCATATATCATATTCAAAATACAAGTTATTATTGATCCATAGAGAAGCGTGTAAGCGTTGTAGAGAATGATACGTAAATAAATAAAAAAAATGTCCGTCAAAATGTCCACCACTAAACTGTGTTTTGTCCATTAAAATGTCCTTCAAAATGTCCACCACTAAACCGTGTTTTGTCCATTAAAATGTCCACCATTTGAATGATTATATGATGATGACAGCTATGATTATAGTAATGTTATTAAACTATTAACTCATTTCCTACGCATTAAATGAGGCAAGATATGGAGCCGTGACATATTTTCCCATTAATATAAGTCATGAGTAATATTTTTCAGGGGAAGATTTAATGGAAGGCAGAGAGGGAGGTACATGGCTCGGCTTATCAAGCAGTGGAAAAATAGCCAGCCTTTTGAATATTTTGCAGCCGAGAGAAGAAGCGACGAAGAACCAAAAAGATTTAGCAAGTCGCGGCTACCTTGTGGTGAATTACCTACGGGGTGAGAAACCTGCATCCAAATATCTTCATGATTTAGCGACGTCGGATTGCGAATATAACAAATTTAATCTCGTCATCCTAGAACCTGATCAGAAGGATGATGAATTTTCAAATAAAAGTTATCGTCTGATGTACTACAACAGCAGCGAAAAACGCACGGTGTGCTGCGAGCCCGGGGTACATGGATTTGGGAACTCGAATCCCGCGAAACCTTTCAAGAAAGTTTGTGAGGGAGTGACCAAAATTGAGGCAATAATAAAAGAAATCGGTCCTTTGATAGCAAAGCAGAAGGAATTGGTTGAATCTTTATTCAACTTGATGAGGAATGAAGAACCGTATCATCCAGACGACGTAATGACAGCTCAGGGAAAAGATCTCCCGGAAATCCTGCTGAAAAGTCTCTCCAGAATATTTGTCACAACTGCAAACGGGACGTACGGCACAAGGTAAAATAATATTTGTGCACTTTTAATTAACAGCAAAAATAACAAAGTTTAAAGTTAATTTGACATAACCGTTTGTGTAAGGGGTCACCAATTAAATTATTGAAGACAAGTTTTTGCACCCTGTTAATTTACGGCACAAATTAAATAAATTCCTGGTATATTTTTTTTTTTGCTCTATTGATGCGCGGCAAAAAGAAATTAAGTACGAAGTCAAATTTACAATCTGTTGATTTACGGTACATATTAATCGAAATCAATGTACAGTTGCACATTCTTAATTGAAAGCGAAAATGATTAAATTTAAAGTACATCTTTCACACCGTTGTAATGCGGCGTCAGTTCATTAGTCAATCAAATTAAAAATTAATTTCGCACTCTGTTGGTTTGCTGTACGACACAAGGGTGCAAAATTCCGGGTAAATGATGAATTCTTCTTCAGTCTGGAGGCTCATAAATGTGCTTCCGGGACATGAACTGTCGATTTGGGCTCTTCAGTTCCAAATGTAATATTAATAGAAATACAGCGTGCAATTCAGCCTACGCTGAACTACATGCGAACCACACATTTTCATCAAAATTTTCTGTTTTCAGAACGACAACAATAGTGCTGGTAGGAGAGGACGACAAAGCTGTCTTCCACGAGCGTACCATGAGGGTCCCCATCAATCCTACGAACCCTGTATGGGACGATGTTGTCCTGTACCATGATCTGTCCCCTCCTCGTCCCCAATAAATACGATGCGGATCCCCATCAATCCTACGAACCCTGTGTGGGACGATGTCGTCCTGTACCATGATCTGTCCCCTCCTCGTCCCCAATAAATACGATGCGGATCCTCGTCAGTCCCACGATGCCTGTGTGGGACGATGTTGTCCTGTACCATGATCTGTCCCCTACACGTCCCCAAAAATACGATGCGGATCCTTGTCAATCCCACGATGCCCGTGCGGGACTATGTCGTCCTGCCCTCTGATGTTTCCCCTCAGCGTCCCCAAAAATACGATTTGGGTCCCTACCAGCCCAGTGAGGGACAATATCGTCATGCCCACTGAACTTTATTTTAAACTTTCATTTCAATATTCTTCACCCAGTTCAGGGTCGAGTTACTTATCATATATACAGGCATTGGTGTTGTTTGTACATGATGGACGTACCCCAACCGGAATAACTTCCCGTGTTGCGATTGGTGTATCTCATTCTCCATACTTCATCAATTATAATTAGGTGTATATTTCCTATATGTATTATGATGTGCATGAAATTCAAAATTACGGCGTACAAACGCAAATTAATGTATTCCCACATACCAGTCAAATCGCATGTTGTAGCCAAACCACTTTAGTATTCATTTGTTTCTAAATAAATTGCAATTTCACTGCTTATTGTTACCACCAAAATGCTGAAACAGTTCATACAAATATGATTCAATTGTTATTTTAATAAACGAACTGTTTGTCAAATCCTCCAAAATTAGTGATACAGTGGGGGGAAATAAATATTCGTACACTTGAAAAATCGTATTTTAATGTATGCAAGTACACAAACTTAACAGGAAAAGTGATTTAAATTATTTTTCTTTTGATAGTATTTTTGAATACTATGCGTCTCTATACATAATTTAAATCACTTTTCCTGTTAAGTTTGTGTACTTACATACATTAAAATACGATTTTTCAAGTGTACGAATATTTATTTCCCCCCACTGTATGTAAACAAACCTTATATGTGGTGATAACTCTATACTATAGGATGAGCGTCTATGTCTGGCTAATCTAATATTTCGTAGACTTTGAACTTTTCATGTCGCATCACCCCAAAAAATTATCTCGAGACATCACGCGAGGTTGACAAATGTCGTCTGCGATAAGAACGCTTATAAATCTAAAACCAACTTGTGTGTGTACTCTAACGGCAGCGAAGTGTGTCTAAAGAGGCCCTCGCTTTAGAGATAAAGATCAGAGTAAGTAATGACCTTCAAAAATCAAATCATGAAGATCGCGATGGTGTAGTACAATCACTAATGCATTTCAGCTCCGATGTGTTAATCGGCGCAATACCTTAATACGAGACGTGGTCCATGTATGTTTGACATTTGCATTGACGCTTCATAATGTTGTAATGTTGACATCGTTTTGTTAACTCAAACAAGCATGTAATTATTGTAGATACACAATAATTGGATTTTTATTTTGAATTGTAGTCAGCTTGGTCATGTAAATAAAACAAGAAGATAGCGCAGTAGTGGCACGAAGCCTTTTATTTCATCAGTTTTACGGTAGTTGAAGGTATCGAGACGGTCTCCTTCGACTGTAGTATGTAGTTTGGGTAATAGAGAGCATAGCTGGGGCGCAGCAACCAAAGAAGTAACGCTTGTAACATCACAAGACTACCTTATCCGACTCTTAACAATGTAGAAAGAAACACCGATTCTACAGCTCATAATAAGCGTTCGCACTATAGGGTACGCACACAGTGAAAGCAGGTTGCCAGCGTGCTGGTTAACTGCTCAGGCTGGCGCCTGAAACCATAGAATACAGAAGCCTGTTCGTACAGGTTTTCACTGTGAACACTTACATTATTATCCTATGTTCATTCTTGTGGCAGGTTGGAGCAGGTTGCCCGCGCGGGCAAACCTGCTTTCACTGTGTGCGTACCCATACGCTATATCAAAGTTGGCGTCAAAAACATCTATTGACTCGTGACGAATACTGCCTCCAGATCGACATCAACTTTAGCCTCTGCTACAATGAAGCCGGAGTAGACCACTCAAGAAGTGCGTGCTTCCGAAACATAAACGTTATGTCTTCTCAGAATATTTAATCAAAGGAGCTGATGAAAGAAATGTGATCTCATGATAACTTCAGGCATAATTTCTTGTAATTACCAGTAACCAACCGCGGTAACAGGCAGTAACACCAGAAGTATTTCAAGGTCGGAGACGCCGCAACGAACTGACTGCAATGCAAGCAAAAAATGCTGCACGCATGTTTCGTTTTTCACTGTCATCGCAGATACGTTCAAGTTCTCGAAGAATAAAATAACAGAAAATAGGCATGGAAATACCTTTGAAGAGGAACTATATAAATCTGGTGATCGCAAGGCTGCAGTTACAAGTTCTCAGGACAGGCATGGCTTGACGAGGCTGTAAAAGCGATGAAGATGGAAGCTTATGACCAAATAATTTCACATTGCATTGCATTACATAAATTTCTCGCATAAAGTCATAAGGCCGACATACTATACGAGGAAACAGATCTTACGATTTCCTCGCTCGTTCTGGGCTCTACCCATTGCCATGCTGTTGCACCACCTTCGACGCTTTTCATGCCCCGTCTACCAAGAAATTAACAGTTTACCGAGGCTCGAACCCACGGTAAGCTCCTCTCTTCTTGATCCCAATGCCACTGCGCTACGGCAGCTCAGAAAGAAAATTCTTATCGTGGGCTTGGCAGCCTAATGTAATATCATCATGAATGCGACAATGTGGAATGCACTTCTAATGCATGCTCGCCTGAAATAAATAATTTTAAATAACGGTGGACAGAAACTTTCATTAAGGCTCAAAGATCAGCGCACTCATTTCAAAGAAATATACTTTGTAGCATCACAACCACTGACATCAATATTAAAACAAAATTATTAGATGGATAGCGCTAATTTAGATACCAACGTTGATTGTAATACTGAAGAACGACTGATCCTAAGGTCACAATGAAGTTGAACTGCAAGGAAAATTGTTATTTAACAACGGTAATGATGCTGAAGCAGTCTTATTTCATCCTTCACCGATAGGATTAAACTGACCACAAATTCGTCGTTATGAAAACAATAAGCGTGATAGAAATTGGATTTTGAATAGAATAATTTACTCCACGGAAGAAGTACATGATCAATAACCATCGAAGATCCGAAATTATAAAGACCACCGAGCGTTGTTAATTAAATTTTAAAAATTCATTTCTTTCAGTGATGAGAAGAGTCGACGGCCAGTCAAATCAAGTTCAGAAGTTAAGCTGATCTTGGGACAACAGAACAATAGTTAGCAAATGTCGCATTACAGAGATGCTAATTTGTATTACAGAGATGCTAACTGAAGAGCGTGTGAAGCGGACGCATGGCGCTACACTGTTAGAAAAATTACCGTTAACGGTATTACCGGCGTTTCAGTGGCCGGTCGGCACGTGAAAAGAAACACCGTGTCGCCGTTTTTATTCTAAATTAACACTAGAAATCCGTAAAACATCTGATAAAAACGGCGAAACAGTTTATTTTCACGGGGCGACCGGCCACTGGAACGCCAGTGGGACAGTTTTTTCTAACAGTGTACATTATGGCGCAAATTTATTTGTGAGAAGATAAAAGTTCAAAGAGACTTGGTATGTTGAGAGCTTCTGACATCTTCTACTACAGTACTTACACTTATTCTTGGCGCTAAGTACCGGAGCTAAAATCTACGGGAAGGTCTCACCCTCGCAGAGCGGATCACTAAACGGCAATAATTTAGATCTAAATTTAATCATATCAGGATATCATTTAATAATTTAGATCTAAAATAGTTAATGTTATCCTCAGCCTTCTTGGAAGAAATGAACACACGCTAAATGAACTTGGTTACATCACTACGCAATTTCGCACCACTAGTAAAAGAAAAAAGAAGTTTCGGCTATGCGAACGTATCAGGCTTCACTAACAACAGAAAAAATCACAGAAACTGACATTGAGTGCTGCTTATAGCAGACCATCGTCATGGTAACGCCTACGAACCACCAATTAGTATAACAACTACACATGGACAAAATAATTGAGAAAATCTTACGATAATTTTAGTCAAAATGAAAACTTTTTCGACGCACCGGTCAAACAGAAAAAAAATACTTTTAGTAATATTTCAATTACTTGACAACCGATGAAACTAAAATGAAAGACAGCAAGTTTATGACATCATCAAGACTGAAAGTTTATGACATCATCAAGACTGAAAGTTTATGACATCATCAAGACTGAAAGTTTATGACATCATCACTGTCTCCTCGAGCGTGTCCGAAACCGTCCATACATCTACAGATCTACGAGTTAACACCGATCATAATCAAGAACTATACATGGCTTTACACTCATCATAATTAGTAGTACAATTATCGTATTATTATCTACGCATAATGTTCCCGCAGAATTTAAAACGAGTGCACATCAAAGAATAAACATCAATGTTCAAGTTCCATCATTACATGAAACGAGCGGAAAAAATAAATTGCGATCTATGTAAACAATGAATGATTTCAAGTCAGACGAGAATCAGAAATAATATCACATGATGTAAGTGTTAATTATCAGCAAAACGTAATTAGAGGAAACAGGATTCCGTGAAAACATGAGGAGAGAAGTAGCTTTAATCGTTCCGTTAAAGCCATGCCGATGGCTGAACATCAAAGAAATAAACTCGTTTAACGAGACAGAAAAGAACAAACAGCATTGTCGTTTCTTAAAGGAAGGCGTGAAAGTTCATCAAAATAATAAGCGAGAATAGGAAAAGATTTTCTGAGCTGATGAACGAAATTTTGACATGTTTATAGTTTCCAGTGGCTATAGAATTTAAGAAAAAACATACAACGTTAACACAAAATTAGCACCAAAAGTAGGTTGAGGTCCTGAAGGTAAAGAGCTTCACTAATGAAGGTGGTGGCGTGGGTAGCCCACATATGATCCTCAACTTGCAAAACTTTTCTCGGCGTGAAGGAAACCCAGTCTCTTCCTAACCCAGTAATTATAATAAGATTTATAATAAAATGATTTGATAAGGTCAGAAAGTAAGTACAAGGGGCCATGTAGATCTATAAGACTTAACGACAAAGGTCGTTGAAGAGCCAGACTTGTTCTATAACAAATATAATCCATTAGTAGTTCGTAAAAGATTTTTAGATGGCAAGAGTGAAAAATCATGTTCTAGACACATTATATGTGATGTTAGAATGTGAGAAATAACGGTACGAGTTTGCAAGGACTCGACACATTTATTTCAGTCACCCCGTCAAATAACTAATACTCAACTATTGCATCACTGCAAACTAGACGTTACTACTGCGTGTGCTTGCCACAAATCAAATGAACTCCTTAGGTGAATGTCCCCGAATCTAGTATCATTAAACGTTGCATTAATATTGATATAAATTCTTCGTAACTTCTACTATTCAGTCAGTAAGGTTCATTCGCATTTCTCGCGAAATTTTCAAGAACATTAAGGTGGTCAACATAAATCTTGTTTACTTTGTGACAAATTCAATGTTATTCGTAGATATTTTATTAAATAAGTCTAAAGTCGATGTACAATGTCCTTCTGGGAAGGGTACATGATATAAGCTACTGCTTGCGCTCATTAGAACAAAAATATATTTTACAGCTTTTTGCACAAGCTGATGTCAAAGAATTTTAAAATCTATAAAAATACGTTTTTTCAATTATTTTAACATAGAAGTAAACTTTAGCAATCGGCCAAAAAAATATTATAAAACATGAATAATTTCCAAGAATTCCACCAATGATATTTTACAATGAGTAAATAATAAAGCCTCATTAAGCAGCCTCACCCGCCTCACATGAGGAGAGCCTCACCCGCCTCACATGAGGAGAGCCTCACCTGCCTCACATGAGGAGAGCCTCACCCGCCTCACATAAGGAGAGCCTTACCCGCCTCACATGAGAAGAGGCACGCTAAGCCATCAATAAACAAAATGAGGCATCGTAACAAAACAATAACTCAAAATATTAAATAATTTCGACCAAATTCAGCCAATGAAATTATAGTTTTAGAAACTTTCTTACGATTTATTGTAATGGAAGAAATAAAGCAATAAGGTTTATGTGCAAAGATTCAACGAAAATAAGTTAGGCAGCGGACGAAGGAAACAAACATATTAGATGGTAGATAACAGCTTTACGACTTAGCGCACGTAGATAACAGTTGGTAGATAACAGCACGTACAGTTATCTGCGGCTCCACGTAGCACTACAAATAATAAATGAAAATTACACAAATAATAAATGAAAATTATACAAATAATAAATGAAAATTACAACATAACACATGGATGAGAAACGAGCACCAAAGGAAATGTGTTCATTTGCTGCCAGTCAACTACTATTGTGATGTCCATCAGGAAATTGACGTTTTATACAAGTAATAAATGAAAATAATACAAATAATAAATGAAAATTACAACATAACACATGGAAGAAAAACGAGCACCAAAGGAAATGTGTTCATTTGCTGCCAGTCAACTACTATTATGATGTCCACAAGGCAATTGAAGTTTGAATAACGTTGACTGAACGTTGGTCAGGCAAAATCAATGTTGCTTCAGTAAAATCAACGCAGTTTCAGCAATATCAACGTTGTTGCAACGTAAATTACGAGAGAAGTTGAGGCTACATGGAACTAGTTAACAAAACACAAAGTTGTCTCGATGTTTAGAAGTCATAAGTCATCATCGTAAACTTGGAAAATAATAAGGTCAATATCGGTTGCAAGTGTAGCAATTATTAAGCATTGCTTCAGTTACGTTTAAATTCTGTTAAACCTTACAGAAATAATAAAGTTAAATGAAAAGGAATAAAGTTGAGGCTGCATGGAACTAGTTAACAAAACACTAAGTTGTCTCGATGTTTAGAAGTCATAAGTCATTATCGTAAACTTGTAAATAATTAAGTCAATATCGGTCACAAGTGTAGCAGTTATTAAGCATTGCTTCAGTTACGTTTAAATTCTGTTAAACCTTACAAAATTAATAAAATTAAACAAAAATGAATAAAGTTGAGGCTGCATGGAACTAGTTAACAAAACACAAAGTTGTCTCAATGTTTGGAGGTCATAAGTCATTATTGTAAACTTTGAAATAATTAGGTCAATATTGGTCGAAAGTGTAGCAGTTATTAGGCATTGCTTCAGTTATGTTTAAATTCTGTTAAACCTTACAAAATAATAAAATTAAATAAAAAGGGTGTGCAATGAAGACTGCCATCTGGACGAAGGACTAGGGATTTCATTTCCATTTACTTTCAAAAATATTTGAATAAACATGACTCCGCAGTGAACAATTACCATACGTTAACAGAAGATATTCAATTTAAAAAGAACATTAACAGAAGGTATATAATTTAATAAGAAGGAAACGAAGCAACACGAGGGAAAATATATCCTCCTGAGCGAGAAATATTTTGCAAGTCGAGAATTTTAAGAAGACTTCCCAGGCATTACATGTAGTATTTCCTACCGTCGCTTTTGGTGCCATGAAAATAACTTTTTGCTGAGTGAAGTTGCAACGAAGTAATATTTTTCATAGTAGTAAATAAATGAACTGAAAAAATGTCCAGGAAATTGAAGAGAAAGCAGAAACACTGTGGCAAAAATGTCACAAACAATATCCATTTGCCTTGAATAATTTCTTCAATGCGCGACTAACTCCACAAACCTGGTAAAAATATTCAAATTTCCAGATACGAGAAAGCCAATAAGTACTTCTGAGCTAATTAATACTTCCTTTCGAGATGAGATATAACGAAATACAACATTTAGACACACCAAATACGTTCAAGTTGCCGTTATCGTTTCATTCGGTCAATGACGTGCGTACCGTCAACTGGGGTGACTTCGGCCGCCGGGTTGACTTCGGCCGCGTTTTTTTATTCTGTTTTGCAAACAAAAGCGGGGTCATAAACGATGGCCAAAGTCACTCCGGCGTTTATGACCTCGTTTAAGACCCTGGCGTTTATGACCCTGGCATTTACGACCCAGCTTTTGTTTGCAAAACAAAATCAAAAACGCGGCCGAAGTCACCCCGGCGGCCAAAGTTACCCCAGTTAACGGTACTGTAAGAGCCACGTCACACTCAAACAAATGAGTGAGCCATTGTCCAAATAGCGATGCACTTTTTGCTCTAGTGTGGGTTATCTTGACCCAGTCTGGCCTGGAATATCAGTGCTCCATGAAGAAAGTGTGTCGCTATTTAGAGGTTGTGAACCATTCATTTCTCAGAGTGCACTTGAGGCAGACGACTCAGTTATCCTGAGGCCCCTGAGGCAAATATTCAGGAAATATATTCTGTGCAAAACAAATATATATATTCAGGAAATATATTCTGTGCAAAACAAATATATATATATTCAGGAAATGTATTCTGTGCAAAACAAATACATACGTATTCAGGAAAATTATTTTGCGCAATTAGGAAGCGCATATAGTCATTCTGCACAGTTATAACTCAAATAAATCGGATTTTCTTTCTGTATTTGGTCAAAAACGCATTGCCTACACACCGCTATGATGAAGATTCCATAATAAGAAAATATATTTTGTGCAATTAGAAAGCGCATATAGAGTCATTCTGCACAGTTATAACTCGAATAAATCAGATTTTCTTCCTGTATATGGTCAAAAACGCATTGCCCACACACCGCCATGATGATGTTAGCTGTCACTTCTGGCCAATAGAGATGCTATTGATCAATGATGTAATAGATGTGGTTTACACGTTTAGAATACTGTTAAGAAATGAAATACTGGCAGAGAAATTGTCTTGTTTTGAATAATTGTAGAGAAATTGTCTTGTTTCGAATACTGGTAGAGAAATTGTCTTGTTTCGAATACTTGTAGAGAAATTGTCTTGTTTCGAATACTGGTAGTGAAATTGTCTTGGTATTTTAAAAATAAAATGCTTATGTTATAAAAAGAAAAGTGAAACAAAGCTAAATACGGGTTGCTGGAAAGTTGGCTTTATCAGAGGCATCATTTGTGAGACAATTAGACCGCCCCATCAAATAAAGGCAGGTGAGCCAACGCTGAAGTTGGTTAGGTAAAAGAAGTCTGAGCAATACAAAGATGTCGAAGACTGAAGACAAATAGAGGAACAATGAGACACGTTCAATAGGAGGAAAGGCAGCCACCCGCACGAGAGAGATGGCAAGAGAAGAAGAATACAAGGAAACTTACTCAAACAAATAAAGAAACCTACAGACAGGTAGAGGTAACTCTAAGTTGAGTGTAAATCAAGAAAATCTTATTGCAGTCGCAAACCAAAAAAGCCATATCAAGAACTGGCAATCATTTATGACTTACAGTCATATAAACTGGCAAGAAGAAACAATGAGAAATGAAAAATTTAATTATAATTTTCAAAGTTCGATGTCGAGTTTTGACTGAAAATAATTTCTAAGAACAATTATATTCCGAAAGAACATCGTTTAGAAATTCATAGTCATTATGTTTATTAAATAATTGGTTGTGAAAGCATTGTGATGGCAGTAAGGCTAAGAAATAGAATCATATTTATATAATCTGTTCAAATAAAAATTTTAAAAGCAACGGAACCCAAGAGAAAACAAATTTTGAGCGGAAAAAAATACAGCTGATAATTTCATATATAATATGTATATATGGAAAAATTTTAACAGAAAGCAAAATAGCTGCGAACTGAATAAAAAACTAATGACAAAAATTGAAACAAGAGCAAATAAGATTTATGAAGTCAGCAAAACGTTGGCCTCAGCCAAAAATGCTGATTAAAGCAAAGGCAGGAAAGGAATAAGGCAGGACTCTAATAAGAGACATAAAAGACAATGTTATAGAACTAAGGCCAGACCTGCGGCATGAGGCCAAGGCAAACAAGATTTATGAAGTCAGCACAACGTTGGCCTCAGCCTAAAATGAGGATTAAAGCAAAGGCATGAAAGTAATAAAAGGAATAAGGCAGGACTCTAATAAGAAACATAATTGACCATGTTATAGACCTAACGCCAGACCTGCGGCATGAGCAGCTTGCTGGTGGCGAAGTGGTAGGGTTGTGCAGACGAGCTCACGTGCAGCGACGTGGAGCTGAAGCTCGTGGCCGGACACACGGCGAGCACCTCGGTGATCTTAGCCTTCAGGTCGTCGATTTCTTTGTCCTTGCGCTCGATCAGAGCTGCAATGTATTAGACATGGTTAACATCTTGTCTAGTGACTATATATAGTAACAAAGACATGGTTAACATCTTGTCTATAAACTATAGCTATGGTAACAAAGGCATGGTTAACCTCTTGTCTAGTGACTATAACTATAGTAACAAAGGCATGGTTAACACCTCTTGTCTATTGGCTATAACTATAGTAACTATGACACGGTTAACCTCTTGTCTAGTGACTATAGCTATAGTAACAAAAACATGGTTAACCTCTTGTCTACTAACTATAGTAACGAAGACTAAGATACAAATAACATAAGCGATGGTTGATGTTTATAATGACATGAGGTTGAGCGAGTGGTTCTCAACTTTCAAGTAACTGATTGATCGGATAATTATTGAATCAGTAAATTGAAAAAAATCGGAAAATTCTCGATTTTAGTCAATTAACCTTCACTGAAAAAGAGCATAAAGGAGCCGGATTGCACAGTTTAGCATGAAACGAGTTCACAAATTTATACCGAATCGCGCCATTTTTCCTGTTCATCATATATAGTGCACACTACCGACCAAAGTTCACCCCGATAATATTTTAAAACACAGTAGGAGTGTGAAAAATTTCTTCTTCAAGGATCACCCACAGTAAAGAGCCTGTTTGAAATATTTCTTCGGGGATCACCATACACTAAAGAGCCTGTTTGAAATATTTTTTCGAGGATCACCATACACTTAAGAGCCTGTTTGAAATATTTATTCGAGGATCCCCCATACACTAAAGAGCCTGCAACAAACCTTGGGCAATCTGGATTTGTCTCTTGGCTTCTCCCAGTGCCGAGAAAAGGTCGAGCTTGACTCTGGTCTCAGCAGAGAGCGTCGTCTCGAGATGCTGGTTGCGCTCCTGCATGGCTGAGAGCGCCGACATCAGCACCTCGCTGTCGTTCTGGCTCTCCTGTAGTATATAAACAATAAGCCTCAGAGCTCAATTTCCATAGAATTGTAACTGGTTGATTGAACACAGTAGGAGAGAACAAGTCTAAACATCAGTCCTCAGTTTCGATAGAATTAGAACTGGTTAACTGACATAATAAGAGAGAAGAAGTCTAAATTTCAGGCTCAATTTCGATAGAATTAAAACTGGTTGATTAAACACAATAAGAGAGAACAAGTCCAAACTTCAGAGCTCAATTTCGGTAGAATTAGAACTGGTTGATTGAACATAAGAAGAGGAACAAGCGTAAACCTAAATAAAGCTAAAGCTAAATTTCCATGGAATTAAAACGGATTGAATAGCCACAATATGAGAAAAAAAAGTTACATTTAGGTAAATGATGATTCCATTTCCTAGCAATACACACGCAACCTGAAACGACGGGCTACCTAAGCAGTCAATCATTCATTAAAATGGTTATTAGCAATGATAAAATAAAACTTTGGCAAGGAGTACAATACTAGCTTTGCATCTCCAACAATGTTCAATGTTAACCATAGCACCCCATTTATCTCAGCACTAACACGATGGTGCCACATACCCCCTGTGACCATATATATCCTAACATGTTACCGAAGACTTCAGCAGCACATGTACTCTGGTAACATATTAGCTTAGTACTGCCTGAGTGCACCTTGTACTGCCTGAGTGCACCTTGAACTGCCTAAGCGCACCTTGTACTGCCTAAGCGCACCTTGTACTACCTGAGCGCACCTTGTACTGCCTAAGCGCACCTTGTACTACAAGAGCGTACATTGTACTGCCTAAGCGCACCTTGTACTACCTGAGAGCACCTTGTACTGCCTGAGCATACCTTGTACTGCCTGAGCGCACCTTGTACTGCCTGAGCGCACCTTGTACTACAAGAGCGCACCTTGTACTGCCTAAGCGCGATGTTCTCGCGCTCGATGGTCTTGATCCTGTCCTCAAGGGCGCGGTGTTCCCGCTTGAGTCTCTTGAGCTCAGCCTCGAGTTCAGCGCGACGGTTGCGACATGCCTCACTGCACTCGCCATTATTGTTGCAGCTTCTGTAAGATATTTTAATCGTTAAACAAGTTCTTACACAAGTTGTAATGCGAGTTGTAGTCTAATAGAGTTGTCTAATTGGCAATATACATATCTAGTTGTTACACGAGTTACGTGAGTTGCGTGCAGCAGCACGAAGCACACACTTGACATCAGTCAATATGTGCTAGTGCAATTAAGAGGCAGAGGCAGAGTCATAACATCATATTGGTGGTCTATACAGAAACTTCAATACGTAATTGATTACCGGTTTCCCAGCCAAACCTTCAGCATTCATTTACTTGCATACATTGATGCTGCTTATTGAGATCAACTTTTAGTTACCAATGTCAAAGCACCTCAACTTATTACAATGCGACCTAACCCGACTAACACGGCCGAATCGCTTTTATTGTTTCTAGTTTCAAATTTAATTTCAATAAATAAATGTAAATAGCAACACGCATTTGCTTTGTTATAGCTATCTCTGGTAATGCTTTGCTAGCGTTTTTTTCCCCAAGAACCTGCAGCCCTGCAGCAGCCAAGGTAATCCTCAGACCCTAATTTGCTCAATAAGAAATACATATAAACATATAAAAATCCAACTAAAGAAAAGTAAAGTAGCAACACTTACTTATTTTGTTATTGCTTTCTCTGGTTGTCCTATTCTAGTGTTTTTTTTTTCCTTGGAACCTGCAGCACTGTGGCAGCCTAGGCCAAAATAATCAGGCGCTAATTTACCCAAAAAAACATAACTGAAGAAAAGTAAAGTGGCAACACTTACTTATTTTGTTGTTGCTGTCTCTGGTTCTGCTCCTCGAGCTTCCTGGCGCGGCGATCGACCTGCTGCAGTTGCGCCTCGGCGGCCTGCCGACAACGGCGCTCCTCGGCGACACGACGCTCCAGGCCCCCCATTGTCGCGCGGTCCGCCTGACGAGCCGTCACCAGCCCGTGCAATCTGCAACACAATAACTTCAGTCAATATACTATTTTATTGCGGTTACTGATCATTAAAGCTTCTGTTATAGTCTTGTAACAGGCCATATAAGTATCCCAGTTACAGGTCATTTGGACATCTGTTATAATGAGACCACGAGCTCATGAACTTCATTAAAGGTACTATTTTATTACGGGTACAGATCATTAAAGCTTCTGTTATATTGTTGTAACAGGCCATATAAGTTTCCCAGTTACAGGTCATTTAAGCGTCTGTTATATTGAGACCACGAGCTCATGAACTTTATTCAAGATACTATTTTATAACGGTTACACATCATTAAAGATTCTCTTATACTGTTGTAACAGGCCATACAAGTTTCCCAGTAACTGGTCATTTGGGCATCTGTTATATTGAGACCACGAGCTCATGAACTTCATTCAAGATACCATTTTATTACGGTTACAGAGCATTAAAGCTTCTCTTATATTGTTTAACAGACCATATAAGTTTCCCAGTAACAGGTCATTTAAGCATCTGTTATATTGAGAACACGAGCTCATGAACTTCATTCAAGACACTATTTTATTACGGTTACAGATCATTAAAGCTTCTCTTATACTGTAGTAACAGGCCATACAAGTTTCCTAGTAACAGGTCATTTGGGCATCTGTTATATTGAGACCACAAGCTCATGAACTTCATTCAATATACTATTTTATTGCGGGTACAGATCATTGAAACTTCTCTTATATTGTTGTAACATGTCATATAAGTATCCCAGTTAAAGGTCATTTAAGCGTCTGTTATATTGAGACCACAAGCTCATGAACTTCAGCTCGTTCAGCTTCAGCTCGAACTACGACCATCATGAACTTCAGTCAAGATACTATTTTTTTACGGTTACAGATCATTAAAGCTTCTCTTATACTGTAGTAACAGACCATGCAAGTTTCCCAGTAACAGGTCATTTGGGAATCTGTTATAATGAGACCACGAGCTCAAGCCCAACAATTCACTTGTTCTGTAAGGTATCGTAGTCCTGCTGGAGCTGCTGTCATGCCCAACAATTCACTTGTTCTGTAAGGTATCATTGTCCTGCTGGAGCTGCTGTCATGCCCAACAACTCACTTGTTCTGTAAGGTATCGTTGTCCTGCTGGAGCTGCTGTCATGCCCCACAACTCACTTGTTCTGTAAGGTATTGTTGTCCTGCTGGAGCTGCTGTCATGCCCCACAACTCACTTGTTCTGTAAGGTATCATTGTCCTGCTGGAGCTGCTGTCATGCCCCACAACTCACTTGTTCTGTAAGGTATCGTTGTCCTGCTGGAGTTGTGTCATTTCTTGCTGGCACAACTTCTGGCTGGACACAAGGGAATTTATTTGGTTCCGTAGCTCCTGCTCGATACTGCGACTGCTGTTCAGTTCTGACCTCGAACGTTTCAGCTCCCCTTCCAATCTGAACAATAAGAATGGAATATTTAAATTCAAAGTACATCAATAACGCAATTCAGTTTAAAACCAAAAATCACATTATTTCGAAACTAAATTGATGACATACATAAGTTTTTAGGATCAATATAATTAGTAACATCTCCATACGTGGAGCAATGTATGTATACATTTTTCACTAATGAGCTATCAAATATTGATCTAACTAGGACATATGCGAAAATAATATGAAGTACAATAATAAACATTACCAAATGAATTTTTTAAAATTTAAGCCAAACTTGGACATAAAATGAATGCTGTTATTTAAAAAACGGAAGAGCATTCTTGCTGCAAGCAATTTACTCTGCCAAATGGCGCCAACACAGGCATCAAGAACAGGTCTCAATAATGGCACCAACACAAGCACCAAGAACAGGTCTCACTTAATAATGGCACTAACACAAGCACCAAGAACAGGTCTCACTTAATAATGGCACCAACACAAGCACCAAGAACAGGTCTCACTTAATAATGGCACCAACACAAGCACCAAGAACAGGTCTCACTTAATAATGGCACCAACACAAGCACCAAGAACAGGTCTC